TTTGTAAGTGAAAAAAGAGAGGAAGAACGAATTTCTCTTTGTTTTTAAGATAAGTTCTATATCTTATTGTAAAATGAAGTTTAATGTACATTATGAGAAGGTTTTGCGATGTTAGCTCCTAAAATGATTTAATTAGTTTGCTGGTTAAATTTGACCTTATGATTGAAATTCAATAATATTAAAGTATAATTTCCATCAATGTGTTGGAGAGTCTTAATGCCGGAATTTTATTGCCATTGATTTTTGTCCGTTTTATTTAAAGATAAGGCCGATTCGTATCCAAGCTAAAATGAATTGATGCTGTCATTGAATGATCTGTGTAAAGAAAATTTATTCTATATAATAATTAAAGAAACTATAATTATAATTAAAGAAATTATATTTTTCAAATTTTAATTTGCAGATATTGTTTGTTGCTAACAGTAGTTCATTATGTGGATTGTCATATGATGAACTGGAAAGGATATTTAATCAATTTGGTGAAAGCTGTGAGTTTATGGTATTTCAGTCGCAACGTTCTTATTCTTTTGTCATTTTTCAAACTGTTTCTGCAGCTCAGTTAGCTTATCAGAAACTTCATGGACAAGCGCCGTCGGAAATAAATTCGAACGCATTACCTTTCTATATTGCTTTTGTTAAAAACGGTAATTACTATTGTAGATGTTGTAAATCTTACGCAAACAAATAATTTAAAATTAATTAAAACGAAATAGGAGACTTTAAGTTTAAATTAGGTGGAAATATATCTATTAAGGATATGAATACTATTTTCTACATTTAATTTCGGATATACAAAATGGCGACCTATATCGTTTTTCTTTCCCAATATCGAATTGATTTTTTCTTCATTCTAATTAAACTTCGAGTTTGCTCATCTCTTTTGAATTCAATTATAGAATTAATAAACAATAAACATGAAACTGCTACTTATTATGAAAAAAATTACTGAAAAAAGAAAAAAATGTTTCAGTACCAGCGATTAAAAGAACAGAGCCGCTCCATAAACCGAACGATCTTTGGCTTTTATCAAATTTTATCAATATAGATGAAGAAGCAGCGTTGATTACTGTTATTCAAGAATATATGCCTAGTGGAAGTAAAATTTTGCCTGTTTCTTTGTGGGATATTTATAAGTCTATTCATTTTTATGAACTGCTTTTATGGATGCAATGAACCAAATTATATGATTTCTTTGAATATTTTATGGTTTAATAAGTAGAGACAAATTATGGAATTATTCAGCTGATTTTGACATTATTATTCATATAAATTTTTGCCAATCTATGTTTCAGAAACATTAAAAAATCGCGAAGTGATCCATTTTGGCTTCGAATTCAATTATGATAATAATATGGCATCTGAGCAACCATCTCCAAATCCAATACCATTAACTTGTCAACCCATAATTGATCGAATGCTTAGTGCTGGAATATTTCGGGAAAAACCGGATCAATTGACGGTGAATATTTATAAGCCTGGAAATGGTATACCATCTCATGCTGATACTCACTCAGCATTCAGCGATACTATAGCCTCGCTTAGTTTGCTATCAGGTTTACTTGCATTTTTTTCTGAAAAAATCATAGCAGGGATATTGTGAATAAATTTTTGTTCATTGGGACCTTTTATATTTGCATTGATCGTAGAAAATTCTTTTCCAAGCTATATTATTGTTTTCTACTAGTTCATCGTATCAGAATAGCATTAGTATTTGCCCATATTTTAAGATTGTCAGTTCAATTTAGAAACAGTTGCTTATCAATTTACTACTTTGTTTCAGATCTCGTCATGGAATTTCGTGATTTTGCGAATACTTCAACGGTTTATGATGTCCTTTTGCCACGTTTTAGTCTGATGGTAATGCGAGGGGAGTCACGATATCGTTGGAAACATGGGTAAATATTATCTTTTTATTTTTAAATGATAAATGAATCTGTACAGAAAGTTGTTTATAATTTTTTTCACTTTTTAGTAAATAATTTATATTTTTTAAAATATTTTACAATAAAAGAGTTTTGCAGTATAGCAAAGAGAAAATATGATATAAATCCAGTGACAAATAGATTGATGCGGCGACAGTTGAGGGTTTCTTTTACATTTCGAAAGGTGATACGAGAAAAGTGCCAATGTCCATTCATTGAATATTGTGATTGGGACCGGAATGGTGCAATGAAAGTTCCGGATAATGACGAATATGGTGCAGCTATTGAGAAGCAATATGTTTCCGCTGTAAGAAGCATTGATTACTGTTCTTTGTTTTCTCTGATTTAGAATCATCTTACACAAATCTTAGACAAACTTTATAGGTATATGAATCTATAGCGGATCATTTTGACACAACGCGACATGCACAGTGGAATGGTGTCGCCAAATTTCTGGCAAATTTCGAACCTGGAACAATAATTTATGATATTGGCTGCGGTAATGGGAAATATCTTAAACTTGATGATGCGTTTATCAAGGTATAATTCTTTGCATTTGAGAAATTGCGCTTTGAAGAACTCTTTATATCTTTGATGTGCTAGGGAAATAGTTTTTGAATTATGTGCTATGCTTAATTGCTTGTTTAAATAATTGAAATTTCTGAATAAAATTCCAAATAGGATTTTTAATCTGAAATTTTATCTTGATGTTGGCAGAAAGAGGCCAAGGTGGCATTTGTTTCTCATGTCTTAGAAATCTGAAAAGTAAATATTACTTTGTTCTATTTCAGATTGGTTGCGACTTATCCATCAATTTATGTCGTATAGCTAACCAAAAGCAGTGTAATGTGTTGCGTGCAAATATTTTATCATTACCTTTCAGAAGTTCTAGTGCGGGTGCAATCTTATGCATTGCTGTCATCCATCATTTAACTACGAAAATGAGAAGGTACTAGTTTATGTAACAGTATTTTTCAACTTATCATCTAGAAGGTTGCTGTCTCATGTATGAAAAATTTTCTACAAAATGAAGCACTAAGCTACACTTCTGAGTTTATTTTTACATTTTGGTAGTGCGTTGTTACAGTAAAGATATACAACATGATACTGATTATTGTGTTTTATGTTTAGCCATATAATTCGTGCACTTCTCATTTGAAGGATTCGCGCAATTCAAGAAATTATTCGTGTATTGAAACCAGGTGGTCAAGCATGCATTACTGTTTGGGCATATGAGCAGAAGTTATGTGATGTACCTTCTGAATATTTGAAAATGCGTCAAAAGAAGCGTGATGTGCAGGTTCCAGATTACATTTGTACTTGTTTCTGCCATGTTTTATTCACTATCAGATCAAATAGTCTAAATTTATTTGATTTTAACAAGCTCTGGATTTTTTTCTGCAGTTAATCTTTTTGCTGCTCTACAAAATCATTGATCATTTGAAATTAAAAGTTTCAGAGTTCTGCTTTATATTTCAGATGAATCGTCGAGATAGTCGTGGAAGATTGCGGGTGCATGAGGGGAGAGAATTTACTCAACCAGATATGCTCGTTCCATTTCAGAATGCTGATGGAAGTCGATTTCTTAGGTACTCAAAAACATTCTATACATAATCCTTGAAAATAAACTTAATTCTCTGTAATTTCTTTTGACAAAGTTAAGGATACAGTTGAGTAAATTCATGAAAAAGATGAAACAAAATTGGTCAAATTCTTATTAAACTAATTTATCCTTTATAGGATGAACAAATTGAATTATCATAGTGTAAATTATTGTTTTTAGATACTATCATTTATTTCGTGATTTCGAACTTGAGGATTTGATCAACGATGTTGGTGGTTGTGTTATTGAGAAATATTTTTATGAACAAGGGAATTGGATTGCTTATGTAAAAAAATAGATTTTATTTGTAACAGAATTTTAGATTTTTATTTTTAACAGGTCTCTATTTTCCTTGGAAATTACAACTGCTGCTTTATTCTTCTTCATTTTTCACTTACCCATGTCGGGTTCAGCAATTCAAAAACTTTTTAATCTTTTGGCTACATTTACTTGTTGTTGTGATGGAAGATTTGGAAATTTGAAAATTTGTTTGTTTGAACCGATAGATTTGAATTCTACTATTATCAAAATGATTTTCGGAAACCAGAAATAATCTTTTAGTATGGTATTACTTGTATTATCAAAGTTTTTTTTATTATTGAGTTTTATGTTATAGAAATTATTTATCTCAATATTCTCAGTGTAATGTTAGGTATGTTGTATTTAATTTCTCAATTTACGATTCTAATATAAATGATTAATCCTTGCCTTACCATCAATTTTATATATCAAATGAACATTTGGTTTCTTTTTGTGCCATTAGTTTAGTCTACAAAATTACCATTTGTCTAATTTACTATAAACAATGCTTGCCGAACACCGCCCAATTCGAAGAGAGTAGGAAAGTGTTATCTGCTACTTGACTATTCAATCCCGATATGTTTTTTCTGAACCATTATCTTAACAAGCAGTTCCAAATCATTCCACTGGAAAGAATACCAAATGATCGACTCAATTACTGTATTGCTGATATAAATATATTATAATGAAGAATAAATCTCTCAATCAATTAATAAAATCTTCATTAAATAATTCGGTTGTACTAAATTAAAGCTCTTCCAAAACAAGAAATCAAAAATCCTCAACAATGATTATTGTAATTAGTAATAAGCTTTTGTATGAAATTTCATATTTTTATTAAAATTTAGAACCAACATTTGTATTTAATTTAGGTAATTAGCAATAATTAAATTTATTCCAGGGAGCAGAAATAGTACAATTTAGTCAGGATTGCCATTTATGTAGTTATCAGGATTGCTATTTATATAGTTATCAGGATTGCCATTTGTATAGTTATCAGGATTGCCATTCATGTAGTTATCAGGATCTGCTATTTATGTAGTTATCAAGATTACTATTTTTAATTTAGTGCTCGCATTCACAGCATAATTTATGATAACATTTTTTATGTTGATAGAGAATGTTTTTATTAAATCATTTTAAAACAAAGGAAAAAAATTAATTCATCATAAAAATTACTTTTTCTTTCGCTTTTTCTTCTTTTTCACTTTTGATGCGACTTCCGTTGGTAATATAAATATTAGTACATCACCTTCTTTTTCGATATTTTTTGCTTGCTATAATTTGAATACAAACGTATGCAAACAGAAATCATTATTACAGACTGAGAAATCGTTATAANTCACTTTTGATGCGACTTCCGTTGGTAATATAAATATTAGTACATCACCTTCTTTTTCGATATTTTTTGCTTGCTATAATTTGAATACAAACGTATGCAAACAGAAATCATTATTACAGACTGAGAAATCGTTATAATATATGGTAAAACTTTTAATAGTTTAATCGATACTGTAATTGAATGCAAACTTATGCAGAAAAAATCATCGTTATAGTATAGAGAAATCGTTATAATATCTGGTAAAACTTTTAATAGTTTAATCGAAAGATCATTAATTATGTAATATTATCTAATTAATATGTTGATCTATTTTAAATGAATAAAAATTCGATTAGAATATGAAAAGATTTTTTGTTTGCTTCTCTCTTTCTCTTTTTATGTATATGTATGAGCAATAATTATTTCTTATATTATTATTAATTAGTTATTATAATTACTAATTAATTCTTTATCTTATCCATTATTAAGAAATTTTAACAATTCAAAAAGAATGTTTAAACAAAGCTCACAAGTAACGCGTTCCAATCCATTTCTGTTTCCTCATCTTCTTTCATCATTAATCCATATCGTGCTTTAATTTCCGCAATTTTAGCAGCGATTTCGTCATCGGATATCTTTTTTGCCGTCTACAATAATAATTAAGATTAGAAATAATTTTTTCCTTTTAAATAAAATATTTTGAATTTAAAAAATTTCATTATAATTCATAGTTATCTCTTATGGGATGATTCATTAAAACAATCATTTAGAAATGGATATTCATGCTAGCTAATTTATGGCTTCGAATTTTTTTATCAATCGTATAAAAATAAACATAATTTTTGAATTGAATTTATATACATACATCAATTTCAGGTTGTTCCGGTTGACATTTATCTCGGCCAAAAACATCAATATTTTTGTCCATAAAAAAGTACAACGTCTGAGAATACAATTAATGATAATTAATGATAATTGAAGTTGTAAAAGAAAATTAAATTTTTATACTTTATTACGGAAAATTTGAATTATGCTATTTTTTTAACCTTATATCTCGGATCTTTATCATCAGCAATTTTCATGCTTCCTTCTTTTATTTCAGGCAATGATTTCTCTTGTTCTATAACTTTTTCCGTTTTCTCAATTTTACATTTTGGATTATCGCTACTGTTAACTTTCTTGGAATCTTCTTTTCGTTTATCCGATGATTTCACCTGAAATGGTTCTAAGATTGATTTTATTTTGTTAATTGAAAAATTCTTTTCTAAACAAGAAAAAATACAATTCAATTATCAAAATTTGAAATTTCGCATTTTGCTTTCTGCAACCTTTTTGCTATCAATCGTTTCTTTGACTTCCTGTGTTTCGTTTACACCTTCGGTTGCAGTGGATTCCTGTTCGGTAATTTGTTTCTTTACCTGAAATGATTCATTTGAAGTAATGAAAGGTTGTCCTTGAAATTAACAATGTTTGCTCATAGAAATATTCACTCAATTTATCACATTTATTATCATTTTCCGGAAAGTATGCATCTTCCTACAAACGGTTGTTTCCATTTGTGAATTTATTAATAGGACTGATAAGCTGAACATTAATTAACAAATTAATTAAAACTACACAAAAGAACCTGTTTTATTTGTTGTTTTTTACTCGTTTCTTCTACTTGCTTTGCTTTTGATATCTGAAATGATATAAAATGATGAACATTTAATATCTGAATCAAATTTTTAAAATGTCTTTCATAGAAAGATTGATAAATAATAAATCTTTATGAGACAGTAATTAGTGATTAATTACAAAATTTACCTTCTTGTTACAATTATAAATAACATATGGTATAAATAATATTGTAGCACACACTAAATGAATGAGTAACATATGCATCTTTTAGAACCAAACCGGAAATCGAAATACAATAACAAATACAATAACAAATGCAATAATAATAAATAATATTTAATTAATTAATATTGTGTATTATAATATATAATTAATTAAATAATTACAACAATAATAATAACAAATGCAATCGAAATACAATAACAAATACAATAATAGCTATAATATGATACATTCTGAGAGATACAAGAAATTTCCAACTGCTATCTATAAATTTTATGCTTCCACTTTTACTACAGCGATTACTTATTAAGCATAATAAAATGGCAAATGGAAAAATTAGAATTATGAAAAATTGAAGAGTATTATGGATTTGATGAAACTTTAACATTAATTATTTATTTATGCTTAAATTATGAAAACAAATTTCATCATTGAAAGATTAAAAAAATTTTAATTTCTAAAATAATTAGTTTGTAAAGTCAAATTATCTACTCATTTGAATAGACAATATTTATTAATGGAAATATTAATAGTATTTCTGATAATATCACAATAATTAATTACTTCATATTATCGAAATACTTATATTATCGGTACCGAATACAGAATCAATTCTGCTCTTATTTAACTTATCGTTTTGGATATATGATCGAATTGATCAAGCAGCCAAACAGTAGCAAATGTAATAATAACAATGTTTTATTTATCAGTATTTAAAAGTTTTAATTAATCAAACTTATAATTACTCACATTTAAACAAATGTAATTTTCTTCATTGTTCACTTTCGAAACGTAGTTGGTTTGCAAACGTCAAAAAAATATCGTTACAAACGTCAACTACGTGATTAGCAAATGTTTTGTTTCTTCCTATCGTTGATGACAGTCTCTTTTCATTGTTGATAAAAAAAATTAATATAGTCTTTGATAATATAGTCTAGTCTTTGGAATATATAGTCTTTGGTAGTCTTTAGTAATATTAATATAGTCTTTGGAAGAAGCAAATGTATTTGATATCTTTGAATATCATTCGTTGGCAGCATCTACTAAGTAAAAAAGCAAATTCATTTCTTCTCTCTTTACGATACCTGATTTCTCTTCAAATGATTTGCCTTCACGAATGAACATTGCGAAATTGATAGTGTAATTAAATAGTTATCATATTCAAGTGGAAATAACATTTTGTAAATGAAATTGATTGTTTAAATTTACCTGATATACTTTTAGAATCAATTACATAAGAAAATGAAAATTAAATTTAAATTTTATGATAACAGGTAGTTTCTTCTTCAATTAAAATCTCTGATTATATTCGGAAAAGAAATCGTTAGAAAGATATTATCATTTTGTGTCTAAAATATTTTAACTTTATTTTACAATTCGGAAATTAATGCTTTAAAACTAATTACTTACCCTAACTTACTATTTGGAATTTATTTCATATTATAAAGAATTATGAAATAATAATTACACAGAAAATTTATATCGCCTTTGAAGTGAAATTTCTTTCTTTCATAGGTATATCAAAATTTTCTTGAAAATTTTTTAGATTTTATTTTTTTACAAAATTTGAACACAAATGATAAAACTCCAACACCTGCAATTACCGGTGTTCATTAGAAAAGCAACAACTAGAGTGTATCTTTGATAACCACTTTCAGAGATAACCAACTGACATAAGTAGTGGGGGCTATTCAATCGTACTGCATCCGTAATTGGCTTTGGATCGGCTAAATGATATCAAAATTAACCATTTTATGAAACCTAAATGTAAATTTCCCTCATAAGAATATATGCACTTTTTGGACACTTTCTAGTGTCTTAATTACTGAAATGTGAAATGGTATGTCTTTACATTACATCATTTTTCTAATATAAATATCATTACATTTATATGATATCACTCAAAATCTGACATGGTATGTAAATTTTCTTTCCTGATTTGTATACTATTACTGTGATATATTCTTTGTTGTTAGCAAAATCATTCTGAAAAAAAAACAGAAACTATCATTTCACAATCAAAACACTTTTCCAATTTAAATCAAATTCGACAACAAAATACATTCAAAATCTAAAAATTGACTTTGTCTGTTATATGGCGTGTGAGTAAAATTCATACTGCAAGGGACAATCTGAATATTTCAATTTTATTTATTATCTATCGCAAAATGAGTGATTGCTCAGTTATTAACTCAGTTATGCTAGATAGTATCCTATTACCAAATCTTCGACTCAACCATTTGCAGATTACAAAGCAATTCTTTCATAAGGATATTATATCCAAAGTTATGAAATCACAGAAATTTAATCTGATCAGGAAATTTTGTTGCTTTATATTTCAAAACTTTTGAGTTTGAAATTGGGATGGGAAACTATCATTGTTTAGTTTTGGTGTAAAATAGAAAGGATGAATTAGGACGAAATGAATTAGGATAAAGAAGGAAATTTAAAACAATGATTTTAAGCAAATATTTGTGTAGCTGTTATGAGTAATAATTTAATTTGTAGAAAATTAAAAAATATTTGAGCAGCTTGTGAAAAGTAAATGGTAGAAATACCATGTAGTCATCTAATAATTTGTAAATTAGAAAATGCATAAAAAGGTGATTATCGGTGAAGATAAAATTTCAGTTAGCATATCATCATTTGCATTGCTAAGTGACATTATTTGTTATCGAATATATTCCTGAAGTCAAATCAGCAGTATACATTCTATCAGAAATTCCAGTAGAATGTTTCTTTCGATCGCATTTTTCGCAATTATCGCTGGTATGTTGAATGAAGATTTTATTCCGTATGATACTCTACTAGACTATAAATTATGATTATCTAAAGAAATGTAATATTTGATTGTAACTAGAAAATTGCAGCTGTGGAAAGTTTAAACTGTGCAGGAGGTCAATTAACATCAAAGCAACGTAAAGATATCGTACGTCAGAATAACAGATTACGTTCGCAATTGATTCGTGGAAAGCTTAAAAATAAAGATGGCAAATATATGCCACGTGGAAAGAATATGCTTAAACTGGTAAAAAATATATTAAAAAATTATTCAATGAAATTTTTCATCTTCTCTTTCATATTTCAATAGCTATCAAATCATTTAGCATTTGCATTGATATTAGGCGTTATTTATTAATTATCAATTGTTCAGAAGTGGAGTTGTCCGCTAGAAAGATCCGCGCAACAATGGGCAAATCAATGTGTCTTTGAACACTCACCAAGAGATCAAAGAAAAGGAATCGGTGAAAATGTCTATTATTACCGGTCACCAGCTGGTGTTGAAAGTAAATTTGAAAGTTATGTGAAGTTCTGAAGCTCTGATAAGTGAAATGTTGAGAATCAAAAAACTGAATATTAATAATAATAATAATAATAACGACCAGAAAATGTAGCACAAAAATGGTTAAACAAAAATATCTAAGACTGCTGGTTTAAGAATTTAAGAAGACTGCTGGTACGGATGCCGGCAAATATTGGTGGTTAGAACTTCCAGAATTATACAAGAACAATCCAACTAATAATTTAACTAATGATGTTTCCCGTCAAGGTGTTTTACATTTTACACAGGTAAGGAAATTTTCATATAAATGAGAATAACAGAATTGTTACATCTTTTCTATATTCTTCAAAATATTCTTTAAAAAAATTATTTCGCCTTTATGGTTAAATAATACTTAAAAAATTGTAATTTTATACAAAACAAGTTGGCGAAATTCCAAAAGTCATCAGCAATACCTAATAATTAGGTTGCAAGTCAAACTGTATTTAAGAAATGCAAGGGATTTTAATCCAATGCATAATGCCTTCTCTTCAACCTGTCTCTTTACACCTGAGGTAATAGGTAGCTGTTATCTATTACACATATAATCTTATGTGATTCGATGTGTTGAAAAGATTACAACAGTCAGGTACGATATTAAATTAGGCGAATTATCCACAGAGATTAATAGGCTTCTTTTCTTTATTCTCATTAATTAAGGTGTGAAAATTCATTTGTTTATTTCTAAAGCTACAATATCCGCTTGGCTTAAAACAATTCCGGAAATTTAATCTTTGCATGAATGATAAAACTGAATAAATAAATTTCCTTTTCCATACAATTTTTATCAGATAACTTTTACATTTAAGAAATGAATTTTCCGTAAATTTTATTTGGAGGTGTTTAATTTTTAGATGGCTTGGAGCAAAACGCATAAAATAGGTTGCGGTATTGCTTCAAATTGCGAGAATGGTCATAAAATCATAGTTATTTGTCACTATAAGCCAGGGTAAGCGTTGATACTATTGTTAAAGCTAAAATGCTCCTAAAACAACTACATTGATAATTATCATTTATCATTAAGCTTCCCTATTATTTCTATCATTTCAACCGTATCGAATATTAACCGTAACATACCTTAACTAATTTCATTCATCGAATAAAATTTCAGTGGAAATAAACCAAATCAATTGATATATCAACGTGGCATACCGTGCAAAATGAACAACGATTGTTACACTAAGAAATGCGCAAAAAAATCGGGATTGTGTATAAAATGAAACAATTTCGCTTTTTTTCGTGTTCAATTTTTTGTTTTCAAACTTATAATTGTTGATTAATTAATAAAGTAATGTTTATTAATTAAACATAAGCTGAATCCAAATAATAGCATTCATAAGGCTGTCACTAAAAATCTATTTCTAAATCATGCAGAAATCTTAATTATTACGGCAGATATTAATTTGAATTTAGGCAGCCATTCTTCTGTGAATTTTTTTGGCTTTGCCAAATCCGAAAATATAAGCATCTGAAATGGATAGAGAATAGAGCGCTTTTTGTTTCCATGGCTTTTGCTTGGTATGAGTACTATTTTATGATCGTTGGGTTACAATCGGTTTGTCAACATATTACAATCAATAAGTTGAACTGATGCTTTCTGTCAAATGATCTCTTAATTAACATCACATTCGTTTGCACTAACGCTATTGATATTTTGATTTGATACTTTGATAATTTTCGGACAAATTCAGACCATTTTTTAAATGAAATCTTTAGGGAATCATTGTGCATGGGATACTTTTAAAGAAATGAAAGTCGAAAGAACCGAAATATTGCAATTATACAAATAACCAAACATTTCCATTTTTGTAAGGTCAAAACAAAATTTGAAATGATAACATTTGCAAGATAAAGCAATTAGTCAATTATATCGTTATTTTTAGTTCTTTTTAGAAAGGTGAATTATTGAATTCGAAGTTACACTTAATCATGCCATTTCGAGAATTGAATGCAATCTTTCAAGGACAGCTCGAACTAATTAACTCAATAATGTTTCAGCAATTAGTAGATACGATCCGAAAGTTTAAGTTCGAAATAACCATTGTTCTTGCATTATTTGGTATTTGCAGAAAAATGTCGTGACAATAACAAAAATTCTGATAATGCCAAAAATTTAAACAACTTTCGATTTTATTCAACATCAAACACCAGTGTTTATAATATTGCTATAAGTATCCAAACGTGGCAGAACAAATCGTATAATTTAGATACCATTCTCAAAACTTATATCCACTGTCAGAGATCTATCATGTCTGCAGTAGATTAAGTGATGAAACGCAAACAGTGCACTCACAAGAAAATATCAAAGGTATGCTTATTGCCACGCTAGTATTGCATTATTGATGAACCCATTATCCATTAAATACTGAAAGGTGAAAATGGTAAATTTGTAACTGTTATTTGACTGAAACGGATAATGTCGTCCTAATCATACCAAATATAATCTTCCGATGAGTGAACTTTCTTTTTCTATTTTTGTTCTTTATCTCGTTTAATACGATCATCGCAATAATGATTCATAAAATTGCCGGAATTTTTCGTTGCAACCTGCCCGACAACACTGACGTGACCAGCATCGAAAACACAAATAGTAAAGTAAAGGATGGAATTAGCATACTTTTCATCACTGCGAACATTTCTGGAAATAATATATGAATCAAAGAGACTGCAAATTTAGATGATAAGTCAACGTATAGTTTGATAAGCTTCAAAATTATCACCTTTCAAATTTAGTATCACCTTTTAAATTATCACCTTTCAAAAGAATATTGATGAAATATGTATGGAAATAATAACTTGATGAGATAATAAAATTATACATTTGGAGTATTGTATATTGAATCTGGATCTTTTTGTTCATAATTTTAAAATTTTTGAAATTTTTGACAAATTTATGAACCATTGGTAAAATCAATTAAATATTAAAAAGGTTGGAAAAGTGTCAAGAAAATTGTGAAAGAGAAATTTTACAGATAAGAATTAATGATATTTGTGATTGGTAGCTGCAATATGGTTTGTGGTTTAAGGGATGAAGAGAAAGGAAAGGTCGAAGGTGGAACAATATAATTGATGAACGTGGAAATTGCAAAACATGACCCAATTTTTAATATCCGACCTACACGTACATTAGAAGACAATAAAATATAAAACAATGGAATATTTAGAAAAATTTCAGGTTCCATTTATTTATGTTATTATTCTTTTGTTACACACTTTTTGATTATTTGTTCAAATTATTTAAACTGAAGAAATTTCGCAATTTATTACTGCAAGAAATATAAATGCAAATTATATGTCATATCGTTAACTGTTAGAAATAATTTCCTCCTTTTCTTTTTTTTTACATCCAACGACAATATATTCTAATAATTAGTAGAAAAGTTGTAAGTTTTCATGAGCATTACGATATTGCAAAATTTTGCAACTTAATAGTAAGCTAATATAAATGAGATGAAACTCAAATTAAAACAAATTAAATGCTACCAAGTTTTTCAAGTAAATTTTGCATATTTCAAGTTTTCAAGTAAATTTGATCATTATCAAAGATTTCCATGCTAATAAAATGCTTTCTTATATTTTACCTGTCCTACTGTATCATACTTAACATTTAAATTACTTGTAAATTTTTTCACTTAGTATTTACGTGAATATTTGCGTGATTATCGTGTCGATTTGAAATAATTTTTTTCCGCTTTAAGTTCGATCCATAAAAGTTCGATGAGATAGTATTAAAGAAATGATATTATTTCGATCAGATATGAAGAATGACTAATTTTATTTGATGAAAATGTCGTGCCGATCGAAGGAATAATAAAACACAAAATGTTTGAAAAAATATATAGTGTAAAAAATTAAATTTATTTTTAGCAAATGGACGATAATTGTCACCAATTATTATTTGTTACTTTTACATTATGGCCATAATTAGTCCACTTCAACAATCGCCCATAAGTGGACATTTTTCCAATTTGCAAACCATTCAGATTTCATCAGAAGAACAACGAAGAAAACAATGTTGATTAATTGTTTGATTCATTATTTGCTTTAATCATAAGTTAAATTTCACTCGAATTACTAGTGTGCGTTTTATTCGTTCTAATTTGAAATGATTTCAGGAATAAAAAATCAAAATTAATTAAGCGATTATAATTTTTAGAAAATAATTTTAAAATTAATTTTATGAGAAATAATTTAATATATTAATTACCAATATAAAATTTAATTTATTTGATTGAAAAAATTTTATGAATAAGTGATCAAAATTAGTTGAAAAAGTTATCTAATGTAATTGCATATTATAGTAATAATAATATTCAGATGACAATGAGACAGAAGATATCAATGATGATTTATCGTATATAAATTGTGGCCTTCTGGTACCCTCTTCAATCTTTGCTGCAATTAGCCTGGCAGCAATTTTAATAGGATCAGCTCTAGGACATTTTTATGATATTAAACGAAGTGAAGATGGAACGATGCCATCTTGGCTATTTTCATCAGGCTGGTATCCAAAATACTGTATGGTTAGTTATTTAAAATGGATGGAAATAAAAAATGAACTAATTAAATAATTACTTTTAAGTAACCTAAAATTTCAACAGAAAAGAGCTGATTGAGTGATAAATTTAAAGAACTTCCAGAAATATGAACAAAAAAATTTTTAATTAGAAGTAAAATTATGCATCGTGAATTATTTTCAAATGGTATAAATAAATAATGAAAAAAATAATTAAATAAATTAAACAGGTATTTTCTAGAATTTTACATCAACAATGATACCCATTTCATATCTACCATCAATGCTTCGATTATTTGAGCTTACCGTACAAGCAAATGTATCATTTCGTATAGCAACCTGTATTCCAACTTCACTTCGATTATTTCAAAGTTACTTAAATGCAATTGCTAATGCACATTTTTGTCCTAATACCAAGGAATGGTTATGGTATCGTTGGTGTAATGGTGCTACTCCTATTTTACTTTTACTTGAAATTACCTTTTGTACTCTTTTCTCGATTAATACCATTCGTCAAGATTATCAAAGTAAGCTTTTCCGCTTTTTTTTTAATTAAAAAAGTATAATTAATGAAATAGTTTATTTATTAAAAGAAATTTCAGTTTAATTTTCTTTTCACTTAATTAAGAAACAAATAAATTTCATATCTGAAATGAAATAAATTTTATTTGGCGTTTTATAACCAATTTTTTGGGTATATCAAAAATTTTTCGTTATTCAAATTTCAGTTTTATGTAAGATAACATTTAATTTATTTATAATCAGCGCCATGTTGCATATGATCGTATATACTACAGTAACAATTTGTCGAAATCGAAAATTTGAGGTACTGCGTTTTTGTTAATACAATAATAATTACAAAAATTCAACGGTTTAATATTGACATTTCGAATTTCTTATTAACTTTTATAATTCTTTCCTTGAAAATTTTAATTCATATGCATCATTATTATTATTTACTAAACTTTTTCTTTATGAATAAATTTGAATTCTATTAACAAACAGTAGTAAATTACAGAAAACAGAAATGGTAATTAATTTTAGGATAATTTTAGTTCTGATGAAATGAGTGAATATCCACGGAAAATTATTATGATACATTATGACGATCGATTATTATCATCCTCTTTCCTTCTGTTTGCCTCAGAATTCAAACAATTACTTCATTGTTATCAGTAACTTTTTTTCACTATCAAATTGTAATATATGTCGTTTTTTTCAGACGATCGATCAGATATCTGTGATAATAAAATTGTTATCTTTAATTGCATTTGGTATAGTAACTCCAAAGGTGGCTATTTTTCACAATATATTTATCGATTCACCAGCATGTCACTACTACGGTTTGATTACAGCTATTTAATTAGTAGCTAATTTAATGAAAGGATAAGTTAAATGATCGATTACTAACTTTATCAATCAACTTGATAAGCAGTAAATTAGCAAATTATTACAGAAAATAACTACCACTAAGTAATTAACAATTAAAGAAATCTATTGCTAAAACTGTTGTATCATTTAATACAATTTAAATTTGTTAAAGATGCGAAATGAAATTAAACAATTTTGTTATCCATTATATTAAGCGTATAGATTGACGCTTGTATTCATGTTGAAGTAAAGGAATAAATTTTTCCATGAAACAACAAAGTGAAAAACAAATATAATTTAAACTTATTTAAACTAACATTGGAATGATTTCAGTTCGCTTCTTATTAAAATTAATATTGGAATGATTTTAGTTCGTTTCTTTAAAACTTCAAATTCAACAAATTGATAAATCAATTGACAAATTGATGAATGATAGAATGTTGAAGTAATTGACAAATTGCTTACTTATTTTTAATATATTTTTAGTGCCACCTTATTATGCATTATGCGAATACATACTAATTATTTCTAACGCTTTGTTCCATCTAACATTGATCAGCGATACACGCAATATGAGGTTTCTGCGACTTTCGTTTTAAAAAGCATCAAATCAAGTTTTATAATTTAATTAAAAAAATTTCACAAAGTATTTATAACAGAATTTTGCTTGAAAATCATTTTTTAACCATATTGCTTATTTCATTTTCAGGTTTCTTATGTATCCACGTACATGTTTCAGGTTTCTTATGTATCCACGTACATGTTCAGGTGAATGCGAACCAATAAATCCTGAAAATTTTCAAAAAGGAGGCAAATTTGAATACTGTCGTTCACAGTATCATATTAATAAAAAACGGCAAATAAGTAATAGTATTGAAATGAAGGAAACTGTATTTTGATATTTTATTTAAATCTGCTAACCTTAACTATTCTTATAACTTGTTTCGTGTAAAATACGTTGTCCATGAAAATGCTAATTGAGTTAGAAGATTTTTAGAAGAGTAAAGCAAATATTTTGAGCTCCAATTAATTCATTATTGTTTGAAAAAAGCAAAATACATATATACCAATAATATGCAATAATTTAATTCGAATTTTTTCTTTTCCAGATTCTTTGCATGATTTTTCCAGAATAGTTGCATGATACCATTTAAATTATATCAATAATTAATACCTATTTGTATAAGATATTTAACTATATTTCGAAGACATATCAAATAACTTTCAATATAATTTGATTTGTAAGCAGATGTTATCAGTTGATGTATTATCAGAAATGCATTAACTGATAACATGTGATAACATAATAAATGATCGTTTTTTTCTTGTTTGTTTTAGCAAAAAAATCCATTTCACGAAATAAATTCAAAATTATATCACAAGAAAAATCCATTATTCTTTATGAAATTGAATAAATAAATTGGAAATGATTGATTTCTTCTTTCAAAATATCAAAAAATTTTTTATAGACTAAGAATTTTTTGCGATTGATATTATTAAAAATTAATTCATAAATGAAATCATTTTTAATTATCAAATTAAAAAATTATCTTTTAAAAGTTAATGTCAGAGGTCGGAGATCATGATGAAATTGATTTGTTGCTATAATAAAGACATAGTTGAAAATGAAACAAACAGATTAAGCATTATTAATTGAAATGTAAAACTTGTGTCCACAAAATATTTTATAAAGCAATTTGTGATAGTGATGATAAAGAGTACCTGTATAGTTCATTGTGTAAATGCTCTCTTGAATGCTCTGTACATGGTTCTGATATAATTAATTAAAATTGCTCTGTACATGGTTCTGATATAATTAATTAAAATTATTGATTTTAATTTCAACCTGTTAAGTGAGAAAAAGAAGCAGCTTATACAGCCTTTTATATTTCGACTTTCCAACTCATAATTTCAGGTAATTTGCATAAAAATTTATCATTTGCTCGTTGAGCATGAAAACTAGCTGAATTTTTCTTTAATTATGAAGCTAAGCATAACTCTAATTATATTTCGATGAGATTTCACTGCAAGTTATTACTCCATAACCCTGTACATAATCATAAGTGTTGGACAGCACTTCGCTTATCACTCTCCATTTATTCGGCAACTGATACAGTGGTAGAGATAATTGTTCCAGCAAATGATTAAATTCGATGATGTCATTTCAAATAAGAAGCCTTTCTTTAGCACCTAGAATTTATCAATTTCTATTGTTTTTTTATTCGATTATTTTTTTATCCTTTTGTTCTAATAAAATTTGCAGTATTGATTCATCAACATTTTTACGACTGATTCATTCCATAATCAATGAAACAAAAGCTGTCTGTCCAATATGCGAGTAGATACAATACAAAGAATTTTATCAATTAAAATGAAATAAAGGAAAAAATAAATGAATGGCAGAAAAATAATACTAATTTACATATCAGACATAATATGAATAATATACATGTAAGAAATAACAATAACATCAACCATAAATACCAGCGAGTATTTCAATTTAAAATACACTTAGCTATTTCTTTTTTCCGCATGATACTTCTTAATGCGTGATTTCATAGTGAATTCCTTCAGGTAACTTTGGATGCATATCGAAAACAGCCTTATCTGTGTGAATTTTCATGCACATTTCCAGATATTGCAGTTGGGAGAAACTTTGCTCCCATATTTGATAATTGTACGACTTTTCACCGGCATGAATCCTCTCAAACTCATAATTGAAGAAACTTTGTCCGCATATCGAATAGTTGTACGACTTTTCACCGGTATGAATCCTCTCATTGCATATCGAATAATTGTACGACTTTTCACCGGCATGAATCCTCTCAAACTCATAATTGAGGGAAACTTTGTCCGCATATCGAATAATTGTACGACTTTTCACCGGTATGAATCTTCTCAAACTCATAATTGAGAGAAACTTTGCCCGCATATCGAATAATTGTACGACTTTTCACCGGTATGAATCTTCTCAAACTCATAATTGAGGGAAACTTTGTCCGCATATCGAATAATTGTACGACTTTTCACCGGTATGAATCTTCTCAAACTCATAATTGAGAGAAACTTTGCCCGCATATCAAATAAATTGCACGACTTTTCACCGGTTTGATTCCTCTCACTGCATATCGAATAATTGTACGACTTTTCACCGGTATGAATCCTCTTATGAGGGTTCAAATGTGATGATTGAAACTTATTCAACTATCCAAACAACGATGCGATTTTTCATCCGAATGATTTGGCATATAATTTTCCAACCATCCTTTTACGGAATGCACTATGCTGAAATTTATGTTCAGCATTCGTTCCCTGAATTTATAAATTCAATGACTCCGTTTGTTCTTTATTCGCTCCATTAATTAATGAATTCGTCCCTCACTTCTGGCATCGATAAATCGAACAACTTTATTTGCTCCGTTTCTGTTTCATGAATTTGCATAAAATTATTCGTTTCACTTTACGTTGAAAATTTAAAATCTTTGAAATATTACACTGTTACATATATCTTTCAACCTTTAATGAACTTACTTTGTAGTTTGGATGTTTAATTGGAAGTAGAAGAGAAGGTTGAAATAGATGGAATCATATTGATGGATGTAACTTCATTCCAATCCTAAAAAATATTTAAATTTAGCAATACATTGTGAATGATTGCTTATATATAATTCAGATTGTTCGCTCTGTGAGGAATTGTTTTAAAGAAGAAATTTCTTCCAAATAGCATATTTCGAAATATATGACCGTTGAAAGGAAAACTATCGTGCATTTACTGCTGTTACAATAGAGACGATTTTATCACCTATGCAAGTAACATGCATAATAACTTACAGCCTCTCTAAAGCTTAATTCTATATAAAGATAATTTTGATTTTATACATTTGTCGTAAAATTTTAACATAGAGCAAAATTTTGGAAAAAGGATGACTTTCTTTTTTCAAATAAATGAAATAGTATTTGCTGAGTGAAATTTGTGAAAGGACAGAGATCGCTAAATAATTTTTAACAGAAACTATCAAAAGGATCATATCTGTAAATGTTTATAAAGATGAGAATAACAAACAACGCATATTAATAATTCATGTTTAACAATAAAATAAAAGCAATTGATGTTTAATCTGTGATATTGAAATAATTTCGTTTCAACTATTGCATTGAATTGGGAGAAGCAATTTAAAATGCAAAGTCCTGTCAACATTGTTTGTACAATTTCATTTCATTTCGATACCTTCAAAATTGAAATGATATTAATGAGAGGAAAAAATTTTCTTGCATTACTTGTAGTTTTATGTTATTGATTTATATATTGTTTTGAATAAATATTTTATTGACTTTTTCTTTGAGGAAAACTTTTCATGAAATAGGACATTGGAGCTAATATTATGTCACGCACTCTCATTTAAATTACAAAAACAAAGGGAAAGAGATTTTGGTCAAAATTTTTTTTCAACAAGGATTCAAATTTTACCAGAATTCAACTTGCAGTGGAAAATAAATTCCATCAAAATTAAGTAACTTTTTTCAAACAGTACGGCATGAATTTCAATCAGTTTTTCCTGACTCTAAATGCCGAAAGAGAATCGGCGGTGATTAGTAGTGCTCCTCGTCATGCTAGCTATTAATTGAGAACTCTGAGAAGTGTTGAATCTTAACAATCATTGAACTGAAGAGAGTTTAGTAAAATATCTCAGCTCGAATTTCCTTTATTACAGTTCTATGTATAATAAAGAGTGTTGCACAATTAGTAGTAAATAGGAGCTTTGATATTCCATTAGTGTATATTTATTATTCTTTATTTCTTAATTATTTATTATTCCTTTATTATTCTATAATTATCGTGACACTAGACAAAAATTCCATTGATTAATGTTCATAAAATATTTTCATATTTTCTGTTTACTTTGAACAAACCATAAATTTCCCTCTAATGGATATTTTAATTAATAATATCCATTACGTCTATATTAAAGGTAATTCGTGCCAAATTGCTGCGACGAAGGGTTGGTTTAAAATATTTAGTGTTTGCATGATTGAATATAATTGTGATAGTAAGTGAATGTTATCACAGGCTATTTAAGCCAAGCAGAATTTGCTGTAGAACCCACTGTAATTTTAGCTTAATGCAATTTTAAATGTATCATTAATTTTAAATATGCTCGAATTTACCCACTATCGAAATATTTCGGTATTCTGCAAGATTTCATCAATTCATTTATTATTATTATAAGTGAATTTTAAATTGTTGGAAATTCGATTACAATCATTTTGGAAGTGTAATAAATGTGTTTGCAAAAAAGCAAACCATTTTTATCAATCAATTATTTGACGATATTTTGGAAAGAATAGCAAATTCAAATGTTAGAAAAGCGCGTCGGTGATGTGTTATTTGCATAAATGAAAACGAAGTCTGTATGGTATTAAATGATTTCGTCTACGTCCTTTAATTCAATATTTATGTAAAATAATTTATGCATTGTTATAGGAATTGTTGGTTTTAAATTTTTGTGAAATCAATTAGTTGAAAATTATAAATATTTTGGCTTATTATTTTTTTATGTAATTCATATATTTATTTATATAATACTTATGTATATTTTTTATTTATAATTTTTTCATATAATAAGCAAAATTACTGAGAGTTATGATAACGATTATTTTATCACTAATCTTTTTTTTCACGCTATATTATCACACATTATAATTGAGGACCAATAAAGAATAGTAATAAAGCCATTTGTATTAATAACACAAATGACTGTTATAAGATTATGTATATGAGCGGACTGCTAGAGTTCGACTTCCCTCTGAAATTTTCGATATATAATTTCTGAAAAAATTGTAAAAATAAAAAATAGATTTTAAAAAATTAAAAATTAAAGAATTTATGAAATTCAAAGTTGCAAGTAATTTACTAAAACAATTCAAAAAATTAAAGTAAGAAATTCAACGAAAGCACATTATGAAATTAAACAAATGATTGTATTTCCATGTGTTGCAATTACCACATTTATCACTTTCTGACGCAATTGTATCTGATACTAATTTAAAATGTGCAAATTTATTTAAAATTAAACATTCCTAGCAGTAATTAATGTCTCGAAAGAGAGATTATATCATAAGCTTATATGAGCAGTGAATTATTGAGGTCAAAGGTTATGTTGACGTCAAAGTTGACTTATGGCGACTTTATGATGACGATGGAAATAAGTTGAATTCAAAAAATTTAATTAAACCGTACGCTTGAAGTATACTTGAAAATTTAACATCAGCGTTGAAGTTATCAATCATTAAATTAATAAATTAAATTATAAATTAATTATTTAAATTATTTAATAAATTAATTATTTAAAGAATTTATCTGTTATGGGCTCATTTTTTTATCTCTTATCTGTTAACTTACATTTATCAAGCAAAATAGGTCAAACATTGATTGCTGTTACTTTATTGTTAAACTTCCATTATGAATACACGTTGTTTGCCACTCCTATATTTACAAGCATTTACAATGTACGATCTTTTGACAGTTTCGTAAAAGCTATTTGGTGATCTCTGCCAAAATTCTCGTCTGCAAAATTTCATTCAGTAAACATTATTTCATTTATTACAACAAGTCAGCCTCTTTCCTACAATTTTGCGCTATATAAAAACTTTATGACAAACGTATAAAATCAGAATTATTTTTCTATAAAATTTGGCTTTAGAGAGAACAAATCGATAACATGCATATTGATGGATGTAATTTCTTTAGAGTTGGCAAGAAAGATTACATCCATCAATATGTGTTTTATCTATTTCAATCTCCTCTTCTATCTCCAATTAAACGTCCAAACGACAGTAAGTTCATTAATGATTAAATATACATATATAGAAAGAACACTGCAATGTTTCAAAGATTAACAAATTTTTAACGTAAACTGAAATGAATAATTTTACGTAATTTCAGGTAACACAAACGAAACAAATAGAGCTAGCTATTCGATTTATCGGTGTTAGAAATGAGTGAGGGATAGCTAAAACTACAGAATTTATTAATGAAGTAACAGATGGCATATTTCCCAATACAGGGAGCGAGCGCTGATCATAAATTACAACGTAATGCATGGTTGGAAAAATATATATCGAATCATACCGATGAAAGGCTGTATTGTTGTTTGGAAAGAGTGAAAGTTCTTCTCAAACATTGCATTTGAATGCTCCTAAGAGAACTAGCAATGATGAAAAAATCGTACAATTATTAGATATACGGACAATTACTATATCTGGAAATGGCTTCTCTGGCTTCTCCCAATTACTATATCTGGAAATGTACATGCAAAGTCATGCAAAAAAATCGCGATAGTGCAGGATAACACAAACTAGTATTACTAGTAAAAATTTTGCATGAGCTAGTAAAAATTCGGATAGTGCAGGATAATGCAAACTGGTAATAATTTGCATCAAATTTCAGTAGCGCGAAGATCTGTTCGGATGACCTGAAGAAAAATAAGTGATAATGCAGAAATTAGCTCATTAAAAAAGTTCCGGTATTATGCATTCTTCTCTTATAGCATTTCCTGTTTGTGAAATCGAGAATTTTGTCATTTGAATTATTGATTGTGCCATAATAAGTGATTTATATCGGTATTCAATAATTATTACGACTAACGATTGTAACACAATACGTTATTTTCTGTTCGATCTGTTCGCATTTGCCTTACTTAATAACATTGCTATCAAAATTTAATCTGTTCCGGATCACATTCCGTCATTATAAACTGTAATTGATGCCTCCTTTGAAATGTCTGTTATTTATTGAAAGTCGTATATTTGTCGTATATTTTTGTCAACTTGAATAATAAAGCAAACTGGTATGAGACGGCAATTTCATATGTCGCTACTTTATTTGATGTTACCGATAAATGAGGAACAAATAATTTCATTTCGTATGGAAATTGTTCTTTTAGTTTGATTATATGATCAATTTATTTGTCAGCAAAATGCTATCGAATATAAAAACGTTGTATTACTTAAGTTATGGAACACAAATAATATAGCTGTAAAATTCCGATAAAAAATTAATGGAATAATAAACTGTTGATAATACTAGCCAACTTTGTTTACTATTTGCCAACAACAAATATAAATGACTGTGTTAAGGCATAATGGGCCAAATAATTCTAAGCTGAGGGCCATATCATTGTATATTAAGATGTATTGCACATAAGAATCCAAATGAGATGGAATTTTGCTAACTTTATTGTTGCTAATTCAATAATAATAATCATGAAGTTAAATGCAGGCGTTAATGATACTAATAAAAGAAAAATTCAAATAATCTCCGCCAAAGTACCTCGTTATTAACCATCAAATGATCAAACATGCAGAACAAATTTTGATGAAACAATATGGTCATCTGATACATTCACAATTTCAACAAATGAGATGCCAATGATTCAGAAGACAAAACGAATATTGCTCTTAATATAATATATCACTAATCTTTCACCAAAATCGATTATTGATTAGTTAATACGATAAAAGAAACCTATTGAAGTGCATGAGCATGTTATTCGATGGAAAAGGAAATTTGATTAAATTTCATAATAATACATCACCTGCTAATTACGTAATTACAATGCAAACATACTTCATGAGCATAAAAATGGGATGCCATACACTGTCGTTAAAATTGAAATTTAGAAGTCATTTGTCATAGTCTGCAATAGTATCACTGCAATGCAAATCAAAGGATAAATATATTAATAATTGACGATGAAGAGCGAAAAATAAAATAATTTAATAAATTCACTTGAAATATGTGTTAATTAAAAAAGAAGATTGAAAGGAATGAATGGTTTTCATTTCCTTTTTTGCACGAAAACGCTAATTACAAATATATGATACGTGCAGATCAAATTGGGAAGTATTAAAATAATACGTGCAGAAAGCGATCAAAAGTTGACACAATAATTATTATATTTGCATATATCATTGGGACAGAAAAGATATTTTCTGCGAAGTATAAGTTGGGAGGGAAAATTTTAATGACGTTAGAAGCGATCATGTATTTGTAGCATGATGGAGGGTGCAACACATTTTGATCTCTTTTCGACAAAATTTTACTTATATATGATATTATAAAAGTTCATTCTTATGATATACTCAAGCAGTCCACAAAATTTCCATATTCTCCAACGATTTCCATCTTCATTGTGTAATATTTGCAGCAGACAGTTTGGAGTAATGAAAGTTTCGGTATCTTTTCTATGTTTCAGTATTTTGAAAGAATAATCCTTCAATGAATTTAATTCAAATTGAAGAGTTATTCTTTCAAATGAAACATATAACTGAAAACAACAAAGTCAGGAAGTCTTTCCATAAATTTCATGGTCAGTTGAATATCTTTTATCCAATAGTGTTTTAGAATGCTTAACAGTTCTTTAATTTTTATATCTTGAAGACTTTTAAGATTCAACGAATTTTCTTTGGATACTTTACTAACTGCAATTTTTGTGCAATTGATTTATCACCATTCAAAATCTTATTATCCAACCAGTTACTCTGATAATTTCAGGAAATTTTAATCAAAAGAAGTTATCATTCGTATTACGGCGAAACCAATTGTCGTTCTACGAAGTATTTTGTGATATAAAATATTTTGAATATCAGCATTGCAGTAGATGAAAAGGACAGTATGTTAAGTTTTAATGAGAATGAGATAGAATCGTTCAACAATTTTCAGAGCTTAGTCGTAATAATTATTTAAGATCTCTGTAAAATTTGGAATTTTTAATGATAACTTTATGAATGTCAATATTGGAACTCAGCTAATGTTGAGGATAATTTGCTAGAATGATAACCCATAAATGGTTGCATTACCATCAGCTCATATATCACTACTTTGCTTTTAAATTCAGTTGCAGATATTGTTTCAGACTTCAGGCATGCATCTACCAAAACTCCGCGTTGCCACGAAAATATTTTTAACTCTCCGTTCTAATATTTATATTCTTATCTGATTGTTAGCGATTTGACTTCCGTCGTATATTTCATTATATCGCAATGCTATAACTTTTATTCCATCAATTTTTTCCCAATATAACATTTTACACGAGAAAAAAAGGAAAATGAGTGATACGAAAATGAAAATAATGTGTTCCAATTTTTGCCTGTGTTGTTTGCTAAATAAAATTTATAAAATAAAATTGAAATTATTTCATTTCAAACACAATCCAGATTTTGTTGAACATTTCTTCGTACTACAATCGCTGCTCCTTTTGCACGGTTCGCCAAGTTCATATATCAATTCATTTATCATATTTCCACTGAAATTTTGGCTTATGAATGAAATTAGGTAAAGTATGTATGGTTAATTCAATGTGATAAAAATGAAAAATGAACTATCTAAGATGGATAGCTTGTTGTTGAAATATAAGACCAAATTGAAAATTAATAAGGAAGCTTAGTGACGAACAATAATTGTCAACGTAGATGTTTAGGAAAATTTTGTTTTCGCAATAATATCAATACTTACTTCGGCTTATAGTGGCAAATAACGATCAGCGTACGACCACCGTCGCAGTTTGTTGCAATGCCGCAACCAATTGAATGCGTTTTACCCCAAGCCATCTAAAAAAGTAAACAAATGAAATATATGGGAAATTCATTTCTTAAATGTAAAAGTTATCTGATAAAAATTGTATGGAAAAGGAAACTTATTTATTCAGTTTTATCTTTCATGTAAAGATTAAATTCCAGAATTATTTCAAGCCAAGCGAACTTTTCACACCTTAATTAATGTGGTTTTAATTAATTAATGAGAGTAAGAAAAAAAGCCTATCAATCTCTGCATCAAAGAAAATTCGTCCAAATAAATATCGTGCTGGACTGTTATAATCTCTTCAACACTTCGAATCACATAAGATTATGATTACCTATTACTTCAGATGTAAAGAGATAGGTTGCAGAAAAGGCATTTTACTTTAAATTGAAATCCTTTGCATTTCTTAAATACAACATGGCTTGCAACAGAAATATTAAATATTGTTGAAAGCTTTTGAAATTTTGTCAGTTTGTTTTGTATAAAATTACAATTTTTTAAGTATTTAGGTATTTAAGTTCAAATTTAAGTATTTAAGTTTTTTTAAAGTATTTAAGTTATTTAAGTTTAGCCATGAAGACGAAATAATTTTTTTAAAGAATATTTTGAAAAATATAGGATATATAATATATAATTCTAATATATAATTCTGTATATATAATTAATATATATAATTCTGTTATCCTCATTTATACGAAAATTTCCTTACCTGTGTGAAATGCAAAATACCTTGACCGGAAACTTTATAAGTTAAATTATTCGATGGATTGTCCTTGTACAATTTCGGAAGTTCTGACCACCAGCTTTCGCCAGCATCCGTTCCAGCAGTATTTCTAAGGCCTGAAAACAATATTTTGTTTTCTATTTTTTGATGACACAATTTCTACTTCTTATTATTATTATTATTTTATTTTTTAATTCTCAATATTTTACTTATCATACTTTTAGAACTTCATATAACAAATATACTTTCAACGCTTGCTGATGACCAATAAGCATAGACATTTTCACCGACTCCGTTTCTTTGATCTCTTGGTGAATGTCCAAAGACACATTGATTTGCCCATTGCTGCGCGGATCTTTCTAGCTCACAACTCCACTTCTGAATAATTGATAATTAATAAATAACGCCTAATATCAATGCAAATGCTAAATGATTTGATAGCTATTGAAATATGAAAGAGAAGATGAAAAATTTCATTGAATAATTTTTTAATATATTTTTTACCAGTTTAAGCATATTCTTTCCACGTGGCATATATCTGCCATCTTTATTTACTTGTTTTCCACGAATCAGTTCCGCACGCAATTTATTATTCTGACGTAAGATATCTTTACGTTGCTTTGATGTTAGCTGACCTCCTGCGCAGCTTAAACTTTCCACAGCTGCAATTTTCTAGTTACAATCAAATATTACATTTTTTAGATGTTCATAATTTATAATCTAGTGGAGTATCACATATGGAATAAAATCTTCATTCAACATACCAACGATAGTTGCGAAAAATATGATCGGAAGAAACATTCTACTGGAATTTCTGATAGAATGTATACTGCTGACCTCAGGAATATATATTTGATGGCAAAACAATATCACTTAGCGACTCAAAATAAATGATGATTTGCTAACTGAAACTTTATTTTCACCGATTATCTTTTATACAGTTTCTGAAGTGCACTTATTTAATGATAGCATGGAATTTCTACCATTTACTTTTCTCAAGCTACTCAAATATTTTTCTATTTTCTATAAATCAAATTATTATTCACGACAGCTTCGCAAATATTTTACGCAATTTATTTCTTTTAAGTTTTCTTTTTTGCCCTTATTTATTTAATTTCTTTTTTGTTTTAAAAGTAAACAATGTTAGATTCTCATCTCAAATTCAAATTCAAAATTTTTGAGTATGAAATAACAAAATTTCCTGATCAGATTTATTTTCTGTGATATTAGAAGTTTTGGATATAATATCATTATGAAAGAATTACTTTATAATCAGTAAAGAATCGTTGAGTCGAAGAATTGGCAATAAGATACTATTAAGCATAATTGAGCAATCGATTCACCCATTCTGTGATAGATAATAAAATTAAAATTATAAGTGTTCAGATTGTCTCCCAAGCAAATCAATCAGATTGTCAAAATTTCGAACAATCAAAAAAGAATTTATAATATTCTACAAATTAAAAGCAAATTACCCTGCATTGTTCTACTTACGTCTAAATGCCCATACTGTTGATGTAAATTTGTATGAATTCGATCATTCCAACAAAAAATGTCGAAAAACACTGAGTGATTTGTTTTGATTAAAACTGTATTAGATATTATGTTAATTTATGAGATATTGATTGATGTAAGTCACAATCAATCATATTACCTTTATTCTTTTATAAATTTTTCACCTAAGTTTGCAAACTTAGGTGAAAAAGGTAATTTCAATTAGATTTCAAAATTTTTCTATCGTATCTATTGTTATTCTCGATGCTGTCTGTAATGTTTACCACACCATATATTTGCATAAATGCATTTATGTTTCGTGAAAATTTTTTCTTACTACATAATCATAAAACCACAAAATATTTTAAGTTATAGTTATAATTGGAAAGATCAAAGTTCATATTTTTGATTAGATCGTAATTTTTTCACAGATTTTTAAATTTTTTATAACAATAATTTTTGAAAACTTTTTTGTTTAATTAAATCTTCCTTTTCATCTTTTCATATCTTTTTTGATCACAAGAAATTTCACTTTGCAACTTTCTAACTTTAAATATAAGTTATAATTTGGTGATATAGCAAAATTAATTTGCATTACAATTTAATTATACATTCATTCTTCTTTATAATTTGTTACTTTGAATCTTTTGTTGTAAATTTTTTGAAGTTTTGCTTATTGACAGCTTTAAATTTCGATCAATAATATGATTATTATTTTCATTATTTTCATTAAAATTTATTACAATATGACTTTAGGAGATTCCACCAAACAACCATAGAAGAGAGAAGTGGAAAATTGTAAAATTTTAAAAACCAGAATAGAACAAAGGATATCTTAAAATTTTTTTCAATTGCAACTTTTTTTGCAAATTTGAACTAAAATTTTGGAAGTCATTGTTGAAATTATTAAGATTATGAGACTGTGATAAACAAATATACGATAATTCTTACTTTATTTGCTTGATCGCCAATGATTTATTTAATTCACATGATGGATACGGTACCTAAAGAGAAATTTTGTATTTTTTTGTAAAGTTGGTCCATATGATGGATACGGTACTTAACGAGAAATTCTGTATTTTTTGTAAAGTTGGTCCATATGATGGATACAGTACTTAACGAGAAATTTTGTATTTTTTGTAAAGTTGGTCCATATGATGGATACGGTACTTAACGAGAAATTTTGTATTTTTTGCAAAGTGATATTTCCAAAAAATTTCTTTTTCATTTGTAATGTTATCATTAACAGTTAAAAACATTCTAATTTAAATTTAAAAAAAACTGTTTATTTCTTTCTATCTCTATTTTACTCTCTCATTAGGTACATTAATCTCTGATTCTCTGCAAAATTTCAAAACTCTCAATGATGGGTAGCGATAAGGTTTAGCTATAGTAATGCAAGTTTTGAATCCTTCTTTCTGTTTGTGAGTTCGCTATACAAGTTTGAATTCATTTTACGACTCTATTATGGCATGTTGTTCATTTGGCTTCATTGCAAATTTTCAACCTTTCATTTTCTCACTTATCCCTGTGATAATTCCAAAATAGCTGTGACTAGAAGTGAGTATTTGGATTGCGAATTTAATCGAATTTTTAACTTTTTGAAATGTAAAAATAAATGTTTTGTTGGAAAAGAAATGACTGTTACCTATAAAGTATAAAACATTTGCTTGACGTAAGATCTTCACTTTAAATTAAATGACATCTATACTTGTTCGCGTATACTAATGTTTGTTTATGTAATTTCATTTTAGTAAGAAATATTTTCTTTAAAGTAAACGTACTATCGTTTCCTCGTACAGAATGGATGAGGTGACTTACTCAGCTCAGAAAGCTATTGGATATGATAAAGCGCATCGATGGGATGCTGCTATTTACTTCTACGTTGTTAGTTGTTTTTTATTTACTTTAGGTAATTATGTATATTTGTGAATAAATGACAAATGTAATAAATAATTTAATTAAATAGTTGTTGATAAATGACCAAGCTGGTATGAAACAATAAGTAATAGTTTAAATGAATCCGTACTGATCATTTAAGAAAATAGTGAGATAATTCTGTTGAGCACAACTTAGCTTAGGCTTGCAGGCATTAGACTAAGTGGATAAGAAAGCTTAGATTTATAAATAATTAACTAAATGGAACTAAATGTATATTTAGGGAACTGTTAATTAGCTAACTGACACGTGAATTATCAAACTAACGAATGAGATAAAATTGGATAGAGGAATAAAGTAAAGGAAAAAAGTGAAATGATTTATCATTTAATTTTGCGCTTGATAGTGCATTATTATTTAGAGCCATAACAAGTTACTTTCTAGGATGCTGCAAATTCAATCCTGGAACTGATACAGCAGGAGAAAATTCCAGCTTCATATAAAGATAAAGCTGAAGAATACGTGAAACGTGCTGAAGTAATCAGATCACAAAGTATATTGATATTTCTTTTCTTTCTATTTATGTATGATTGTTTACATCAGTTTATGATTAAACAACTTTAAGATCTTCCAAGGAGTTACTATAGTTTTCTAATTTTTATTATAAATTTTATTTTTGCTTAATAAAACATTTGACATATTGAATATTTTTATTGATGGTTTTTACATACGTTATAATTTTAATTTGCTGGAAGTGAAGAAAGTGAATTCGTCAGGTGCATCGAGGATGTCAACCAACATCAAAAACCAACAACAGCTGAATATTGAACGAGCCGAATTTTTGTTATATCAAGCATTGGATCAGGATGAAGAGGGAAATGTGAGCGAAGCCATCGCGTTATATTCTCTGGCTATTGAACTTTGCATCAATACTTCGGTTTGTTTAACTTACCTATGCTTATGATTAGTCACTGCCATTTTAGGCACCGAAATGTAAACACTTGAATTTTATTTCTTATTTTCAGAATACATCCCGTGATGCTGCGGTGGCCGGAAAGTTGCGCCAGTTGGCTAAGAAGGCTTTGGATCGAGCAGAAGTTTTGAAAACTGAAGAGAAGTTGAGGAAAAGTCCTAGCATAGAATTACCTGAACCTCCTCTGGATGGTACATTTATTTTATTTTATTATTGTTCCTATCTAAATATTTATTATTTCTTTATGCTTCATATAACTGCAAAACTTATCGAAATGTTCTTCTAGACCTTAATTGAAATACTTCCATACAGCGAAAACTTCAAGAAGCTTGCGTGATTTTTAAATTTGATAGCACATTCTATTAGTTTTATTGTTGAGGTAAACTTATCTTACTTAATTTGCTGAAAAGTAATCTATTTACCTGGTAAAATGGATCATATTAGACATTTGTAGAAATATCGGATTTAAATATAAGCACGGACTTCGGGCAGTCGACTGCTGACCCCAGTAGTAGTAAGACAACATTTACAATTAAACAAAAAACTGGAGATGATAACAGTGGTCGTCTTACCAAATCAGAATTAGCAGTATTGGCAGCAACATCAAACGTTAACGGAAGGCAATATGTTCCCTTTTTGGCTGTCGATCTGAAGGAGCGCTTTGCTTATCCGGTACCATTTACGTAAGTTTTCAATAATAAGAATTGTTTGTTTTTGTTTAATATTTCTATCGTTTTTATCATTGAAATTTTCAGTGATAATCATGGTTTGTTGGTTTTATCTGATAAACAAGTGAAACGGCTAAAAAATTGGATGCGCCCAGACGAGTTCATGGAATCCCCGAAAGTAATTGATCGAGTCGATAGTGGCACTATTAAACAGGTTGCTCCCTTTTTTCTCCAAGGTTTTTTTTTTGAAAAACCATTTGCTTGTTCTTTGTGCGTTTGTTTTTCAGAGTAATTTTGCTCACCATTTTTCTGAATTATGATGTAACTCGAAATATACCGACCGCCATTACTATTTCAGTCAATTGTGTCGGATTGCTCTTTCATAGCTTCACTAGCCATATCAGCTCGATATGAGAGCCGTTTCAAGAAGCCATTGGTGACAAGGTATTTGTGAATATTCTTTTTTCTCTACAATTGTCACTCACTGTAAATGTTGTTTGTCTTAACTCCTAATTATGAACATTTCGTACTTCTTAGTTTAATACTTGCAGTGTCACTAAAACAATAGCAAATTACTGGGCGTAGAACAGACTTTGTACAAACCTCTCTATCTTAGTCAGGACTTTATCACTGAGAGAAATTTATCCACGGCTCATAGTCTTTCTTTGTCAACATTTTATCATATTCTATTTTGTAACTTTTCCTAGATGCTGAAATCCGTCATGTACATTAAATTTGTAATATATCATTAGACAATTTGATTCTAATTTCTTTACAGTATAATATATCCTCAAAATAAATTCGGCGTGCCATTATATAATCCTTGTGGGAAATATATGATCAAGATGCATTTCAATGGTGTTTGGAGAAAGGTAAGATAGATTTCTCTTCTGTTTATATATATTTATATTTATATATTATTTGTTCCTTTTATCTGGTGGTAGCTAGCGGATATACTAAAATTAACCCTCTTTGTTACGAGTCGAAGCTTAAGCTTAAAAACCTTAATTTTTCCGCGATATCCATGCACCAGTTTTTTTGAATATCGGTGCATAGTTCCTTCTTTCGTATATATGATACGTATGGCATAAAATCGCAGCACTGTCAGAAATAAACTACGTCGAATGATGAAACCGTTTTTCGTGACCACATCGGATGTCACCATTTTCAGCATTGATAAAATTCAATCGCATCGCTTCTTTACTTTCATTTTTTAAACGGATCTCGTTTTTGGGTTAGAGCCTTTTATGATTATTTTCTGATTACTATGAAAAAAAAAAGAATTTCTCAATGCTGCATCATTTCAAAATATAAAATGAAGTGGAAGTTTTATTCAGATCGTAATCGATGATCGATTTCCCATTGGAGAATATGGCGATTTCCTGTGTTCATATAGTCAACACAAGTTCGTAATTTAATAATTCACGTTCTTTTCGTCATATATAGTTTTTATTGATTTGAATTTAAGATGAAATTGAAGTATTTTACAGGAATGAATTATGGGTTTCGCTATTGGAAAAAGCTTACATGAAAGTGATGGGTGGATATGATTTTCCAGGCTCAAATTCGGTATAATTTTAAAGCTAGTGAAGAATAATAAAGCTGAGATGTCTTACAGATCTATACATCATAATTCTGAAATACCATTTTCAGAGTATTGATATGCATGCATTGACAGGATGGATACCCGAAAGAATAAGTATTAATAGGGATTGGTCCAGTAACGATGCTGGTACTGTGTTCGAGAAACTTTTTACAAGGTTTGTTTGTAAAGTTGTTTCGAAAGAAAGCGTATGAAGTGAAAATGTTATAAACACTAATTGAAAAAAAAGATCAGGAACTGTGTTCACATTTGTTGATTCTTTGCATTATTAAAAACTAAAAGATGCATTGAAGGACTGCTGTTTTCATGTAATTTTTGTGGTTATTAATCGTGATTTTCTTAAAAGTTATCCAAATATTTCACCTATCAATAAGAATTTCATCTCATGAATAAACAAACCAGTTGGTATTTAGATATCACCAAGGCCATTGCCTCATTACACTAGCAACTGGTAAAATGGATCAGCTGACGACTAATCGAACTGGCTTGATTGACACACATGCATATGCGGTGTTAGATCTGAGGAAAATTCAAGTATGAAATAAATTTTATTCCTTTTTCTATTTTAGAGAATAATTTCTATCTCGTCACAAAATATTTATTAGAAAATCTTTCTTTTTAGGACAAACAGCTGTTGATGCTAAAAAATCCTTGGACACATTTACGCTGGAAAGGAAATTACTCTGAAAAGGATAAGCTGAACTGGACACCGCAGCTTTGCAAAGCATTGGATTACAGTCCTGCGGATGCACAGCAATTCGATGATGGTTGGCAGTGGTTTTGTTAATTTGTGTTGAAATTTTGGAAAAATTCGAGCTTTAGTTGAAGTTATCATGAAATTGAGAAATTTTATAATAGTTGCTGAAATTGTTTATTTGATGTAGATGCAGTTAAGGTGTATTTTGGATCGACTTTAAATCAGTATGTCATTTCTTCGAGGTATTCTACGTGAACTGGGATCCTTCGATATTTCCATACACTTATGGATTACATGCGTAAGTGTCTAGAACTTCATGTTCAGCATGAAATATGTAACCGTATGAATCGATTTTCTACAAATTTCTTTTTTCAGGGTATGGCCAGCAGGTTTGGGACCAGTGAAAGATTTGTATAGTTTAGCTGACAATCCTCAATACACATTAGAAGTAAATAGTAATGGTTCCACTGCAGTATGGATTTTACTCACACGCCATATAACAGACAAAGTCAATTTTTAGATTTTGAATGTATTTTGTTGTCGAATTTGATTTAAATTGGAAAAGTGTTTTGATTGTGAAATGATAGTTCCTGTTTTTTTTTCAGAATGATTTTGCTAACAACAAAGAATATATCACAGTAATAGTATACAAATCAGGAAAGAAAATTTACATACCATGTCAGATTTTGAGTGATATCATATAAATGTAATGATATTTATATTAGAAAAATGATGTAATGTAAAGACATACCATTTCACATTTCAGTAATTAAGACACTAGAAAGTGTCCAAAAAGTGCATATATTCTTATGAGGGAAATTTACATTTAGGTTTCATAAAATGGTTAATTTTGATATCATTTAGCCGATCCAAAGCCAATTACGGATGCAGTACGATTGAATAGCCCCCACTACTTATGTCAGTTGGTTATCTCTGAAAGTGGTTATCAAAGATACACTCTAGTTGTTGCTCAAGTATGCATTTTTTTGTAATAGTCTCTTTTTCTTTGAAAAATACTAGCTTTATGGATTATAAATTTTTAAGCTTTATCATTAAATTAATTAGGTTTAATATTTCGAATCTGATGCTTAGTTCATTTAAAAATTGTAGGAAAAGAAGCAGAAGTGCTAAAATTCTAACTACATGAAATTATTTCAATAGTATAGACTGAGGGAACAGAGTTTAAGATTAATAAAGCTCAGATATAAAGTAATTTAAAAAAAGTCAGTAACGAATGTATTAACTATGCTGTAGCAAGGTAATGACATCAGTTTATGTTTGTATTTTTTAGTATGAAAAGATGAAAACAATATATTATACGTTGAGAGTATACTCTACAGCTGAATTCCGTTTGCAAAAAGTGAAAGTTCCTTATGTTTCAAAGAAAAAGGTATACTGTACATCATTTTAGTATCATAAACATTTTTCTTCATCTTTAATTGTCTCTGAAAAATGCCATATTTTTTGATATTTTTAGAAAGTTGGCGAATGGAAAGGGAAAACAGCTGGTGGCTGTGGTAATGGTCCAAGTCGGGAAACTTATATGTACATTAATTTTACTTTTATTGATCCTTTCTTACTTTGTTAATGAAAGATTGATTGCACTGCTGTCTGCTTTGATCATTGTAATAGTTTGTACATCTTTTGCAGGAATAACCCAATATATGAAGTGAATTTGGATGATGGCAGCGATGATAATGATGTACTTATTGAATTGAAGGGTCCAAAACAGTACAATATCGGTTTTGAAATTAAACAGGTTTCCTCATTAAGGAATAAATCATTTGAAAGACGCAGCTCAGGAGCATTCAGGTTCTAATTTTCTTTACTTTTCTTTTTTTGATATGCGTTTAACTGCTGGAAATTTTAGACGAGGATACACTGTACTTGCTTTGGAAGCAGTGCCGGCAGGTATTTACAACATTCAACCAATGACATTCCAACAAGGTGAGGAAGGACCTTTTTTCTTGACTGTTGAAGCATCCTGTTCTTTTACAATCAAGCAGATCCAGTAACAATTTTGTGAGATTATTAACTTGTAAAACTAATTTTCTTGGGAGTTTAGTCTGCGCACATCAGTACATGCTTCATATAAATAAAGAAAGTTTAATCTTTATTTGATTCTAAAAGAATGATGAACTATTAGCATTTTAAAAGATATATGGATGGAAGGAATGACTGAGCTGAGATATTTTTAATGGTGTTAATAGTCTTGGGGGTAGGGATTCCTCCGATATAGGCGGTTAACAATTAAACAATAAAACATTACGAATAGCAAAAGTATTATTTGAAATATTCTTCATTGAAAATGAATTAGTTGTTGTACATGAAGTTCTGTCGTCCAATATACATTATATACGTGTATATATACACCTACCTGAATGTATATATCGTTTTATATTAAACAGGTTTAGATATCTGTTTTTTCATGGCACATCATTTTAAACGTTCTTTGTTGGTTGCCACTATTATTCACTGTTTGACCCGTTGTTTGACCTATTGCTATTCGGGCGAAATATCCATCATTTGATAAAACGAAATCTCTAAAGGTGGAAAAGAATAAAGATTGATGAATGGCTACATGTCGACAAATTAAAATTTAAACGCTAATGAAAGTTTGTCTGATTCAGAAAATGGAAATATATTTGCATAATATTTGTCATCTCAATTTAATTCCCTTTTCATTGTAATATTTAACAGCGTAACATCACAGAAGACAACCAAAATCATTTCAAAGCATAAATTCGATTTGTTAATTTACCATTTTCCATAAAAATCTTTTCTGAATTTCTGTAACAAATCGATAGTACTAAATTTAGATAATTCACTTTAAAAAAATTAATCTATTTATTTCCTAAATTTGTGGCAGTTAGTATAAAATATTTGATGTCAGACATTTAAAGTCAACGTATTGAGGAAAAATAGCTGTTTATAATATCCTTCTTATAATATGTAATTGTATTTTATACGAAATAATAAGTCAATATGCTTGTAATTCTCAATTAATCCATTTTGCAAAAATTGAAAACCAAAAGTTTTTATAACAATGTAGAAATTCTTTTCAATACAATACTGGCATTAAAGGATTTAAATGAAATCATTCAATACCTTACAAATTTAATTTCCATTTTTGCAAATTTTACATCACCGACTGCGTTATTTTAACATTTAAAATTTGTTGCTTCTTTTCAAACATCGCTAAAAGTTTTTAATAAAAATAATATAATTTTGCAAACAGATTTATTACAATTCCAAAATGGTGGTAGTCAAATTTCTAACAATTTGAAATTCACTTTTAGTAGTAGTAAATAAACTGATGAAGTCTTGCAGAATACCAAATATTTCGATATTGGATAAATTCATAGTTTCAAGCAACAACATTTAAATTGCGCAAAGTTAAAATTGCAATGGATTCTACAGCAAATCCTATTGGGCCTAATAAGTCGTAGCGACCATAATCACATTCAATCATGCAAACACCAAATATTTCAACTAACCTCTGGCAGTTTCATCAATTTGGTATGTACCATCTCTAATATAAATACAATATTGTAATTGATATTATTAATTCATATATCATATATCAATATTGCAATTATAAGGAAAATTTATGTTTTGTTTAAAAATATCCTATGGACATTAAGCAAAATGACTTTTATCAGATATCATGATAATAACTTGTGCGCTGATAAGATAATAAAACGCTTATTTGAAATGAAAATCTTAGTAATTATGTAACAAATTATATGCAGAACTGGAATAAAGGAAATTCGAGCTGAGATATTTTATTAATTTCAGATTTCAGAGTTCTCGGTAACAATCAGAATTGTAAGCAGCACTACCAATTATCGCCGATCTTTTTTGTCATTAAGAGTAAAGCAAAACCGGAAAAGATTCTTTCTGTACGTTTTAAAAAAATATTGCAAGTTGAATTCTGGCAAAATTTAAAAAGTTTCGATCGAAATCTTTTACTTTGCTATTGCAATTTAATTAAGAGTGCGTGTAGTGACATATTTTTCATTTCATGAAAACTAATACAACAAAATGCAATAAATCTTTTCCTTTTGCTATTATCACCTCACCTCAGGTATAAAAGTGAAATGACAATGTGCAAATAATGTTGCCAGTGCTTTGCATAAATTATTTTTTGCAGTTCAATACAATAGTTAAAATGAAATTATTTAGTATGATAGATTAAATATCAATTGCTGATATTTTTATTGTTAAACGTATCTTATTAATACACGTAGTCTGCCATTTCCACCTTTATAAGCATTTACATTTACGATCCTTTGATAGTTTCTAATAAAAATTATTTAGCGATCTCTTTCCTTTCACAAATTTCATTCAATAAACATTATTTCATTCATTTCAACAAAAGAATTTCAGCCTCTTCCCAAAATTATGCGTTATATAAAAAACTTTATGATAAACGTATCGAACAAAATTTAGCTTTAGAAGAGGAATAAGTTGCTATACGAGCTGTTTGCATGTGATAAATTCCCTTATTGTATTAGCAATGATTGCGTGACAGTTTCCTTTTCAATGCTAATATATTTCGAAGTGCATTGTTTTGTAGTAATTTCATTTTTAAGTAATTTATCAAGGAGCGATTTGATTTCTTATAAGTAACCATTCCATAATGTATTGGTACATTTGAATATTTTTTAGAACTGTCAGGAAATTACAGCAATCAATATGTATCTTATCTACTTCTTTCTTCTCTTTCTCTTCCAAATAAACATTCAAACAATAGTAAGTTCATTCATTAAAGTTGAAAAGTAAGTAATGTTTCAAAGACTTCAAATTTTCAACATTTAGGCCAAATAAATAATTTCATGCAATTTCAAGCAGCACATCATAAACACAGCCGTTGGATTTATCCGATATGAGATGACTCATACCAATAAAAATATTAGGTGAAATGAATAATTTTATGTAATTTCAGGAAACACAAACGGTACAAACAGAGCCATTAGATTTATCAGTGCGAAAACAAACATTACAGCATGATGTTCGTCGAAAAAATACTGATGAGAAGTTATACGATTGTTGGATATGTGGAAAAAGTTTTTCAAGATCATCAAATTTGAATGAACATATGAGGATTCACACCGGTGAAAAGCCGTACAGTTGCCCGATATGTGGACGAAATTTCTCTCAAATGTCGAATATGAAAACACATTTGAAGACTCATACCTATGTAAAGCAATATATTTGCTTGATATGCGGACGAAGTTTCTTTCAATTATCGAATATGAAAGAACATTTGAAGACTCATATCCGTGCAAGTCGTACAATTGTTCACAGTACGGAAAAAGTTTCTCCTGAAAATTCCATCTGAATGAGCACATGCAAAGTCATAGGAATAAGAAGCTTCTTTTCAACTGAATTGAATACAACCAAAGCTTTCTAAATTAATTCATTTCGAAATCACATATGAATAAGTTCATGCTGAATTAGAGTACGCGCATTTTAACCTGAAATACTCGTTGCTATTTTTGGTACTCCAAATTATTTCAGTATTTCATTAATTGAATTCTTGCAGTTTAATTCATCCATAATTTTTATCACCTCTTCTTCATTTCTTGCTATTACTGTTATTCCTTGCCTGTATATTATTTATTTTATGTCTGATATTTAAATTAGTATTATTTTTCTGCCATCCATTTACTTTTTATCGTTCTTTTATTTTAATGAATAAAATTCTTCGTATCATATCTCTTTGCATACTTAATGGACAGACAATCATTATAGTATTAATTATTGGAATGAATCATTTGGAAAACTATTGATAAATCAATAGCACATCGGATCGCATTATCGATTAGAAGAATAAAAGCTATGTTGATTTTAATCCTTCTTAGAAGACTTAACAAGATATAGATCTCATTTTTCTTCACAAGAAACAGCTCTTTGGTGTTTAAACTAAGATAAGAAATTTATGAATATCAAGTTGTACACTTTGATATTCACACAGCGTTACTCGCACGATATACGATGGCAATACAAACACTATGAAATAATATGATACCAATAATTTCCGCGGATAAATGATTGGTTGAAGTAGCGGAATGTGGAATTCTGTAAAATGTTTCTTATAAAAATCTGCACACTACAGTCAACTAATCTAGCAAAGAAGTAGCATCTGTATTATATTTATGCATTCCGGTAGATCGTTCTGACAGAACCATTTTTATGCGTTCCGGTAGATCGTTCTGACAGAACCATTTTTATGCGTTCCGGTAGATCGTTCTGACAGAATCATTTTTATGCGTTCCGGTAGATCGTTCTGACAGAACCATTTTTATGCGTTCCGGTAGATCGTTCTGACAGAACCATTTTTATGCGTTCCGGTAGATCGTTCTGACAGAACCATTTTTATGCGTTCCGGTAGATCGTTCTGACAGAATCATTTTTATGCGTTCCGGTAGATCGTTCTGACAGAACCATTTTTATGCGTTCCGGTAGATCGTTCTGACAGAACCATTTTTATGCGTTCCGGTAGATCGTTCTGCATAATAATTTCATCCCCGTACCCTCTGAAATCCTTTGTTAGTTACATTGTAAAATAATGCAAATGCAATTATAACCAATATCACTGTTCAAAATCATCACCAAACTCTTTTAACTTGGAATAGGATGAAATCAATCGAATAGTATACTACAATAGTCTAATGCAATTATGTCTGGGAAGATATATGGAGGAAGATCCATGTTCGTCCAATTCCGACTTTTTTAGTCAACTTGACCGATTTCCATATGCCATTTTCATAACATAAGTTCCATTTGATTATTTCTTCTTTCATTATTTCTTCTGATTGAGCTTTCTTGATTAATATACTACGGGCAATTCATAATCGTCTTCTGCAAGTCGAGTTTTCTTTGATGAGGTTTGTCACCAGGGAATTCTTCCTTTCGATGTTAAATTTATAAATTTCAAGGCCTATGCAGTTGTTCTTACCAATCTCGACTATTTACTAAATCTGCGTCGATTAGTTAGAAAGTTTTATTAATAGTGACTTATGCAATGGTAACTTCGTCTTCCCTTTCGTTTTCATATTCTTTATGATCTTCGTTGAAATTATATTCCCAAGGCGGCTATTTTCATTCATTTTTATTTCACATGGAATATAGCAAAATGAGAATTTGGCCTTTTGTATTTCTTCAACACAATTTTATACAAATATCAGTAGTGATAGATAATGATTCTGTATTCGATGCAATGCGCATATTGAATCTGATCACAAGGTGACATTTACATCTTCAAGTTCCATTTGTTTGATAATAAACTGAGCAGCATGTACTTCTATTAAGTATGACAAGTAAATTCTGGAATAGTTATACCTTCAATAGAAGGATAAGGAAGAAAGGCTGTGCAAAGGATGATCTGGTAACAGCACATTAATTGGAACATGATTGATTATAAGACCGGAAACATTTTTATGTGAGTTGATTTGCAGTAATTTAACCATTTAAGATAAGTAGGGTAATCAAGAATGAAATAAGGATAAGAATTTAGCCAAATGATTCATTATGCTAAATATTGTAGCATTCATTAAATTACAATTTATGCAATAAATCACTTGAAGTGAGGAATATTTACAATACAAATTATTATTGTTTATATTTGTTATAAATTGTTTCGATTTTCCGATACTTGCCTGATTTATTATTGTTAATATCAAAGTGCATGCAAATTTAGCCTTTAGGCATTTTCTTTGATCATATTATCAATTACGATAAGATAGGAATACAATTACCGGGTTTTATTAATAAACAAAGATCAAACTTTTCAAAAAACTTAACGAATTATTATATTCAATCATTTGATAATTATTAACATCCTCAAGTTTTTCTAATTGTTAAGCAATTCGAATCATTCCACCGAATATTTCATAAATCCGGTTCCGGAAAATCTCCAAAATGATCAAAATTCACAAAACTAATTTCTCGTATATATGCAACAAAACAAAAGAAAAAAATCAATGTTCCATAAAACACTATACCATCAAAAAATTTCGGTATTTTTAATCAAATATCAAGAATAATTTTTACTTTGATAAAGAGAAATTGTACATAATTGTGTTAGATGAGAGAAGCAAAGAAAAAAATGAACAATTCCTGAAATTTGATTTAATCAACCATCATTTTCTCCTTATCACCGATTGTTTCTTCTTTGAGATCAATTCGTTGTTTTAATGCAAACTGAAATTTAATCGAAGAAATATTTGTTTGATATAATTTTTGATTTATAAGAATGAAAATTTATGACTAATTTAGAACTAACTCATTTTATGCTAATTAATCCAAATTATTTATTGCCTTAAAAAAAGATCAAAATTCAGAGGGAAAAATGCAAAAGCAATTTATTTTTAAATTGCTAAATTATTCATAAAAAGAAACTTCGAAAAAATATATTCAAAAAAATTACTTAAATTTAAAAAAAATTCGTAACTAAAAATATGAATGAAATTTTTTGATTGAAACAAAGGAAAAATTCATTAAATAAAATTTTGGACATTTATGGAAAGAGTTAATTTCGATCGTAGAAAGTATAAGTTTCTGTAAAACACCCAAAAAGATATTTATATTAAACTTTTATAATTTTAAAGTGCGAAAAACGAAAATTCAAATTTATAATATTATGAATGAAATTAGAGCATTTAAAAATTAATTATAAAAGTTGGAAATTTATTGATTAATTTTCAAATTTCTTTTTTTCAAATTTAATTTGCAGAAAACAATTAAAATAAAATTTATTTATAAATTTGCGAAAAAAAATTTTAAGTTTTAATTTTCGTTCCCTTTTTGAATTATTTGATAGTTGCGAGTATAATTTGTTGTAAACAACAACAAAACATTTTGTTCATCCTTGTTTTTCTAATAAATTGCCATAAATATTAATAGTAGCTGTCATGGCATTTCAGTTGATTAATTACAGGTATTTCATATGCATCATATTTACTACCTCTATAATTATCTTAAAAATAATTAGAATCTTCGAATAAGTATTTTTCGTTTTGTGAATAATAGCATTTTTGGGATGACGAAAAAGAGCGATATTTCAGAAGTCCATTTTTCATGTATTTTAAATTTTTGATTCTTCATGACTCTTTAATTATATATGTATGTATATTTCATATATTTTGTATATATATTTCCTCAAAAATTTTCTTCACATATTTCTTTAAAAATTTAATTTAAATTTCATTTCAAACTTTTTTTTTGATATATTCTGAAGAAATTAAGAATTGGTCAGAAAATTTGCTATCAATAATTATGTATTGTTAATCTTAATTAGTAATAAATTTGATTGTTATCTTAAAAAAGGGTGAAAGAAAAGAAACGAAAAATGAAAAGCGATAAGTCTAAAGTTTATTTTTAATATTTCAATTTGTTTTTAATTTTTTTAATTGCTTGTAAATTTTCTTTTTTAATTTTAGCTTAAAGCTAAAATATAAATTTTCATTTCTCTCATTTCTTCCTATACCTGAGTCCTTTTTTTACCATATCATATAAACATATATATATATATATATAATATATAATATATAAACGTCAACATGTTTGTCATCTTTCTCTTCTCTTCAAGGTTATTTATCGTTAAATCGTTAAATTACAGTGTAAAAGAAAGGTAAAAAAAGACCGAGTGATGAGGGTAATTTTCTGAATTTTCTCTAATTTTTCAGGTGAAGCAATTTTGTTGACACAAATAGGACTGGTTTCCCTATTATCTGCCAGTTTACCTATCATTATTTCATTTCATTTCATTTCAAAAAAACTTTTTCATTCTTCTTTTTTATAATCAATAGTAAGTAAACAAATGCTTCACATCTTACATTGTTTACAGTATACAACTGTATTTTATATATATGAAATTTTTCACAATAAAAATTTCCACAATTCATTTATTATTCCAATTAGGAGTTGAAATGAAATCAATAATTCCTATCTTTAAGCGTTACATTGAGAAAGACATTTCAACAAAACAAAGATTGGAAAACTTACGATAGCGTTATTATCAAAACAATAAGAAAGATAAACCTGGAATGAACAGGTGCCTTTTGATATTAACCGTACAAATTTAGCACCATCAATCATAGCAGCTGCTTTAATATCCTTCCTGGCACTTCGTGTTTCTAGATAATCTCGGAATATTTCAACTATATTCATCGTTAAAGGTAATACCAGAGCACTATCTTTCCTCCTAAAATATTTGCTATAATGTAAAATTGAAGTAAACTAAAATTAAAATTAAATAGCTTTTAAATTCAGATATAATAAAGTGACAATTTGTAAGTTTGTCTTCTTGTTTTCTTTTTGCCTAAATAGAATTTTCAATTTAATTTTTGTTATAAAAGTATACAATTTATACATGTATTCCTAATAATTACATTTTTTAATTTTTTGAATCATGCAAAACTTTTTAAACTTCACAACGTTCCACACAGATACGAAATGAAACCTTACATTCAGTTTAAATTATAAGTAACAAACCTTCTGATCGATATGGTCACCAAACCGGACAGCACTGAAACAACACTATATGTGCCACTATAATTCATTTCTTCAATAATAATTGAAGCTTCTGTTTTATAGTGAGCTGGTACCACAACGGTACTATCAACAGACCATGATAACAATTCTGACTTCGCATTTTCATTTACATTGTTGAAATTCATTTCATGCTTAAAACCTGCTTTCAATTCGGCTATTTCACCTAAAAATTATACACATGGAAATAATTAAATAAGCATAATAAGCGATGATTTTTTTTAATATTAGAATTTAAAATCAAATTAGTTAATTGAATTTTCTTTTCCGAAATTGTACACTCATTTGTTGACCATTTATCGGATGGAATATGTTCTTTGATACAAAATTACTAGTATTTGTAAACCTCATTTTGCTATTCGTTGAATTTTAGTTTTCTCCTAGCCACCAAAACAACGGGATCACTTTCCCGTCCCCCCGTAATGACTGGAACAGCAATTCAACTATGGAATTTTAGCTTTCTTCTGGCCACACAACAACGGGAACATTTTTCCGTCCTCCGTAATAACGGATAGAACAATTTAATTATGGTACGGTCGGGAAAAATTGCATTAACAATGAGTTGGATTAAAAATTTGCTCGTTTAACTTTTAGAAATGTATATTTTAGGTATTATTAACAATCGTATTATCCATGATCGTGATTGAAAAAAAAGGAAACAAAAATTTTCTAATGAATTTGGATATTATTGTAAAATTATATGTTTATACTATTTTACCATCAAGTGATAGGTAGTATATATGGTTAATTTTACTAGTAACCAAAAATGTTTCCTACTTTCTTTACTAATGAGCAATTATTTCCTTCCCTTTGCTTATTATTTAATTTAACCATTATCAATAATTAAAATTTCCGTATAGAATCCGGACGATAAACAATAATAATAGTAATAAGCGAATTGTTTTATTGTTTGTTAGTTTCTGCCTTTTGTAAACTATCATTTTCTCTTTCTTTCTATTTGTTGAACAAAAAATGTAATAATTCTCGGTACATTAATAAACAACTGTATGTATGCCATTTTAGCTCCATTTATTGTCTAATCAATCGTTGAGCAATATTAGCCTAAGCCTTATTTAACATGCATTTCAATAAAAGCCAAAAAAAAGGAATGGATAATGGAAAGCAGATGAGACTAGGCACTTTTTGCTCTCATAAATCACAGAGATAATGATTTAACTGCCATTGGGTCGGTAAATAAATGAATGTTAAATGAAAGAAATAATTGCAAAAAAAGAAAGAAAGAAAAAGAAATTCGTTTTTAGGTCTGATACCAATGAAATTTCATCGATTTTAGGCTTTAATTTTTTTCATTTCAGAATGAGAATAAAAGGAAATGATTAAATGCAAATTTTGATTATTATTATTATTCCCAGAATAAAGCATAATTTTGACATATGCAATTATTATCAATTCTCTGTGACATCTTTTCAATCAAAGTGATTTCTTATGAATCGTTGTGAATCCATCTGAATCGTTGCAAATCCTGCATGAAACACTTCCAGTAATGGTATAAATTCTTATGATACCTTCCCTATTACCTAAAATTTTGTTCTTATAAAATCAAATACAACAATGTTATTGTCATCAACTTTGACCTTTTAAACATTTACTATCCATTTACAACTTTATTGACGAAAAATCCCATCGCTCATTTTCAATTTGAGACATTTTTAATGACAAAAGAGAAAAGGTTAATGGAAATGCTGAATATGTTGTAAGCTTCTTAATTTGATATTATTTCTCATTTTCATCCTTTCTTTCTTCTTTTTATTGCCAGTCATTCCTCTCTCTCTCTCTCCCTTTCTTGTCCTAAACTTCTCGAACTACCTTTAACGCTTTGCATGACGAAGTAACCTCATTTCTTGTCCTTTGTTGTCACCATCATCATTTTGACAAAAAGAAATCATCAAAAGGAGATCGTTTAGTTGAAGTTTAGTTAACAGGTTCCGCGAATCAGCGGGAAGCCTCGTGAGAAAATTCTATAATATTTGCTCTGCTCATCTTCTCTTCTTACCAAATTATTCCTATTTGGGTGTGTTATCATGATGAATTCATATAACAAATAGAGGGGCTTCCTATCTCTAAATCGTTGCATAAACATCTCTCGGAATAAAATGATATGAAATTCTTTTCGATATTTTAAACTTTTTAATGCTTTAATTTCAATCTATAGCTACGAAAAGGAATTATGAGTTTCTGATGATTTTGGATATAAATGAAATTAAATCCTTTCAACTTCTTCAAATTTCAAACCCTTCCGATTTATCCGATTTCTATTTTCCTATTTCATTTCGCCTTCTTCAACAATTTACGGTGTTTTAGAGGAAAATTTTGAATTCAACGATAATTTTAATTTGGAATTTAGGAATTTGAAATTCAAGTCTATTCGCCGCAAATGGTAGCCTTTTAAAATCAAATCTTATGAAGTTTGCAAAAGAATGAATTAAAATTCCATTAAATATTTCATTTCAGCGTAAAGAATTGGTTTGGCCCCATTTTCGAAACTAAATTTGTTGACATTTCATGCATATATATTTAAGAGAAAGGCTACATGCATGTCAGAGATTACTAAGGAAATACCAGAGAAGCTGATAAACGGAAATGCCCGACAAAGTAAACGAAAACACCGGAGAGGGTGGTGGTAAACAAAAATACCGAAAAAGTTGTAAAATAAATGCACGATAGGTCGATCAACAAACCAAACATCGAATAGGTTAGTAATTTAAAATATCCAACAGGTTGAATGATTTTATCATGTTTGTTTGAAAACTATATCACATCTTTCTTTCGCTCTTCTTAATATTAAATATTATATAAAATTATGAGATGAATTTAATTTATATATTATAAAATTTAAATTTGGAAGTTTAAGAATTGAAATTTTAATGAAAACAAAAAACAAACATGGTGTTTTTAGTGTCAATTCAGTTTCACCACCGATCAAATAACCTTGTTCACGCATAACGCTGCATAAACTTTCTGTAGTACGCTCAGTTTTGAACGAGTATTCTTGCGGTCGATCAGTATTATTTGTATAGATCGATTTGAATAACGTAAATGGACGTGCTCCTTGACAGTTCAATTGCGAATACTGTGGCTCCTCGTGTCTTATTACTAATTTGCGCCGATTCTATAATTGCTTGATTTAAAAAAATAAAAATATATATCACTTTGATAAGAATAAAAATTATCATAAATTAAATTGAATTACAATATGAATTATATCGAAATATTAAAATGTCAAAAAATGCCCAAATATTAGATTTACAGTGAAGGATAACTTAAATAACGGATACATTTAAATAGATAAAATGATTATGAAAGTAGTAGAAGCCTGATTATGTTTACCTTGCAATTATATCATTAACAGAGGAATGCACCCAAATTGATCGATAGATATCTCAGATATAATCAAGCTCTCATTAAAATACGATTTATACATTTTATCAATTTTGAGTAAATGAGGAAATTGGAGACGAGAAGATAGTTAACATGAAGAGGATGATAGGGAGGGAGACAATATCATAGTTATTTGTTTATCGCTCATTGATTGATAATCTTAAATCTTAATCCTTAGCAGTCAATTTTTCAGCGATTGATTGAAATGGAGCAGTATGATTGTTTTGTTAGTCATCTTTATCATCAGTCTTAGTCATCGAACATAAGCTTGTAACGTTATATGATATCAGATTATTTGTCATACAATCATTATGTATTGCTGAAAAGTTATTTTTTATTTATATATATTGTTTCTGCTTGAAAAATAAAATATCAGCTGTAAATATTTTGACAAAAGAAATTATTACTTATGTTAAGCTAAATTAATTATAAAAATAATTAAATGTTATTTATAAGTTACTAAATTTCTCAAATAAAAACTTTCCATTAAAAAAATCATCAAATTTCAGTGGAACATATTTGTATTCAATTAAAAAATAATGATTTGTAGTGTATAATTTTGCAAATTTTAATGATTTTTTTTGAATACTTTCTTTGTTAATGCGGATTTAACTAATTAATTAATTAATTAATTAATCATATGAATTGAGGTATGTTTTTCCATCAGTAAAAAAACAAAGAATTCTTTGCTGTTCTATCAATATTTCATCATTTATCATCACATTCCAGCGTTAATTTTATCATTGCTTACCATTTCGCTGAAAGGGAGGAAAGAAGGGATTTATTTTGATTTTGAATTCCCGAGAATTATGTTTAAGTGGTAATTTTTCGACGAGAACTAAAACTCATCAAAAGGATATTATGGAAATGTAGACGAGAGAATAGATGATAGTTGAGAAGGAGGAAGACGACTTGGCGGTAGTTGTCGTCAAATGCTAAAATGATGCTAATTGAGTTCCGAATCCATTCACTCGTCCCAATGGAATTCTATTGACTAATGCGATAAGTGCTACCATTTTCCAACACTGATGAGTCGTCGTCGGGTCGATCAGCAATTTCAAACTTTCTTACCAAACCAAACTAATAATCCATTCGTAACAGAAAAAAATTTGTTTGCTACGAAAAATCTTCCCTTTAAAAGAATTTTTGCAAAATAATAAATTTTTCTGCAATGTAAATAAGTGGCAAAAATGTTGAAAAAAGAAAATGATAGTAAGTTTAGTATAATTAGAAAAATTTTGCTTTTAAAATAATTAAACTAAAACTAAAGCTAAAATTAATTATTATTAATTATTTCCCTTTCTTATAGTTTTGCATACATACTAATGGCTTTCATCAAAATTAAAATTAATTTACTGATCGATTTTTATGTTACTAAAATACATTTTCAAAGAAAAGAAAGGAAAGACCACATTTTTTATGCCATTCAATTTAATCGTTAGAAAATTAAATTTTCAAATATTTTTACTTATAAATTTAGTTGTCTGTTAGGAAACTAATAGAATATAATATCGTAGTAAAAAAGAAATATTCGTTTTATTCATTTATTTTTTGTATTGTATACTTTTCAGATTAATATTTATGTGTCCTACAAAATATCATCGAATTTCAACTTTTTAAATCAAATTTCACTCCATCCCTTAAATTGACTGATTTTGAAAAATATTAAAAAATAAGCAAAATCATGAACTACCATATAAGTAATATAGTTATGTTATTTATTGATTAATTTAAATTCTAATTTTGCCGATCATCTTATAATTTCATATTATCATCGGTTTAAATTTAAAAAATTGTCTTGGGAAATAGTAATAATTCATCACATCAAATTTTATGGAATCATTAAGTGAAGGTATCACTCATAAATTTTTCACATTTTCATCCCATAAATTATTCAGCAACTCTTTCTGAACTCTTTTTACCTCAATCTTAAGAGTTCAAATAATTTCAAAAATTTTTTATTGAAAGTGTGCTAACGATTAGCGAATTTCCACCTGCTGACCGAACCGAATTGATTAATCGGAAAAAGTGGAACGATAACAAGTGACCAAGCGGAGATGGATAATATAGTGAGATGAGAGGAGGGGGACATCGAATGATGATGGGTGACGTTTGATGAGAGTTGGAAAATGGAATGAACAAACGAAAGAACACGATAGGATAGCGCTGATGCACTTGTATGCTGTCGATTACGGTAACTTCAATTTCCTTTCATTGTTAAAAAAGTTCAATTCAAAAAAATAGGAAGTATATGAAGCTAACTGAGAGAGAGAGAGAGAAATATATATTAATTATGTTAAAAAGGTAATTTTGAACAATTTCAATAAGTTTGAAATTTGAAGGATATTGAATATTATAAATTGAAATAATTTAAAATAGCTAAATTCGTGGAATAAACATTTTCTTCGAGAAGTTTCATTTGCATATATTTCATTTGCATATAAACTTCCAATTTCCATCTGTAATTTTTCTTTCAAATTTTCCTTTTTTATGTTACAACTTGTGGTACTTTATTTTTTCAACATTTTTAGGTAAAAAAAATTTTCATTTTTTCAAAAAGTATTATTTTACACTTTCCTTATCTTAAATATATAAGTAATGGCGACAAATGTGATTAAATATAATGACAATGATGACAGTAACATTACGTCAATTATTTACTAATACAACAGTAGCACTAAATGTAATTAAACATTAATTAACGAAAATCACAGTCTCAAAGAAACTTATCAACAAAGGAATTTTTCGGACTATTTAAAATTTTTGATTACTTAATTTGTTGGTTTAATTTGTTGAATAATATCATCTGCAAATATTGATATTACCAAATATTTTCCTACGGTAAAGAAAAGTGAATAACGTCAAAAATTCTTTTTCATTCATAATCGATCGGATTTAATAATCGATTTATTATATTCTATTATTTTCAAAAAAACAATTAATAGACATATTTCAATGATGAAACAGAAAGAATAATGAATGCTATCAGAAGCAATCTATTCGTCGCACATGTAACCATTCTACTTCCTTCATTAATTAAATTCATTGCTTTTAAAAGTACAGAAGGGTCAAAGTACCATGACAGGAAAGCAAAATCTAGATTTAAAGAATTTTAGTGAAAAAAACTGGAGATATTTTGCCTCTGAAAAATTGAAGTATCTTAATGGAAAATGTTCGAGATGCAATAGTTGAAGTAGCTCGAAGCTATCTTAGAAGTTTGAAGAATAGTAGTGGAAAAAGCTGAAAGTATCTCAATGGAGGAAGCTCAAATTATCTCAGTACTTTAATGGAAGAACTTCAAAACATTACGACAAATGAAAACTTAAAGTAAAATATTTTTAGTGGAAGAAGTCCGAAGTTCCACTTATCACGAATGTTAAATAGCTCATATCAGGCTTGTGGAATGATTAAAATATTCCGCTTTGATTTCATAAGACACGTAAGTTTCGTTTTTTTTTTAAAAAAAGTTATCAATGATTATTGATAAAAGTGTCAGTGAAAATAATATTAATCTGCTCGATATTATTTGCACGATTACTTATTTCAGCTGATAAACTTCAAAATGATGAAAATGTCGAATCATTCGTGCGATTGATAATTTTGATACAAACTATGCTTTTCTTTAATCTAAAAATTTCATCTTAATTATTTAAATATTTAATTAGTAAAATAATTTCCCTAAAATAATATTAGGTAATTTCATTAAAGAATGAAAGAAATATAATTTTAAAGATGAGAAACTATTGTATGAAATTTATTTCATATAAAATTTAAAAGTAAAAATTGATGGATAAATTCAACAAATAAAGAAAATTTTTCCATTTCTCTTCTATTATACTTAATTTTTAGAAATCTTTTTTCACTCAAAAATATTTATTTTTGTTTATGAGAATTAAAATGCTTTTAGTTTTATCATTGAGAACACCTGCTCCCTCTCGGCTGGAAGTTAAATTTGCTATTGCCTTCTTGGCTAACTTTCCCACAATTTTTATTTGATTACAAATTTGATAGCAAAAAAATATCGCTCACATTTTTTTTTCATTGATTTTATTAAAATCAATACTAGAAAATTTTCCCAGAGAGAAACGAAAAAACTTCCATATATTTAAAAAGAATTTTATTTGAGAAGAAATGTGAGAAAGTAATGTAATTTTAATTTTCTCTTTCACTTCAACTTTACCACCACCCGAAACACCTGCTTCTCGAGAAAGCATTAGTGGAAATGATAGTTATTACTCTCTGCATTGCTTCATTCTCCTTCCTCCTTAAGCTATTAATCTTAAAATTTGTAGGATGGAAAATATGGATGGATTTAGCCCTAAAGCGACTATTTGATTGACGGATAGCTTAAACTCACTAAGCTTCCTTTTTGTTTTTCATTCACGCAAAAACGACCACTTCAAAAAATGTTTTTCACATTTCAATCGATTCCACTTCTTTAATCCGATGCTTTAATAGTATCCAACATTACCATTATTATCATTATCATTATTCACTATTATCATTATCATCACTATCATTATCATCATTACTATTATTTTGTTGAAAATTTAAATATTTAAGAAAAAAATTAAATTAATTGGTATATTTTCTTGAAATATATATTTTCGTCTTCTTATTAATCAATTTTTTTTCAATTTTTCATAATTTTAACTTTGATATTTTTTAAAAATCAACTTTTAAAGCAATTTTTTTTAATTTAATGAATGGAAGTTTTTTCAAAATATACATTATTTTACCTTTTAAAAACCTTTTCATTATTTATAAGAAAATTTTATTCAGAGAGGGAGAGAGGGAGAGAGAGAGAAAGAGAGGTAATAATCTGATCTGAGAGGGTATCACTCGAAACAGAAAATGTTCTCATTTAGAGAAGTGAAGTAAACGCCGTCGTGATGAATG